GGCGCGGCCGACCTCCACAAGAGCAAAGTGCTTGCAAACATCCGCTACAAACGCTGTGGCGGTTTGCTCGAGCTCAGGGATAGTTGTGGCAAAGATACAAGCTTTAATCAGCTTTTTCAAAGTTGCTTCCTGCACGATCTTCTTTGGAATAGAGGTGGATCTTTCAGACTTATCAAGAATGTCTGCCATAGCACCCGGCTTATTTTCGAAGAGATCATTGGCATGGAGTCTGATTAAGATTGCCAAATCCTCGGGGATGTTGTCGTGGCCAATTTGGAGCTTGAGGTGGGAGCTGAGCATGCGGTAGGCTTGCTGTTTGTAGTAGATGTCCGAAGCTTTCCCGGAGTCCGTCTTTGGGACCTCCATAAGTTTACCCGCGGCCAGATCGATACCGATGTCTGTAGGGAAAGGCCGCTTCTCGTTCGGGCCGATCAGCCTGATATCGAAGCTTGGATTATCATCAGAAAACTGCTGGAACGACAGTTCCGGGGGGTGGTTAAGGAACTTCCGATTCCGTCCGCCAAGTTTTCCCAGGATGCGCATAGTTGTGTGTGCATGGAAATGGTTGTAAGGAGACGGACGCAAGTGATCCCAAAGTGCAGTCATCAGCTCATCCATTATTGGACCCATGATTGGATCGAGATAGTCCGCTGTGAGGTTGTCCACGCATAGTTCGAGAGTGCGCAAACCCTGACCTACGAGATCAGAATCGGCACGCAAGGCGACCACGATTGGGCGCATCAAATAGCTGAGGTGAGGGAGGAGATGGCTGAGCCGGGCAGGAACGGTGAGAGTGAGTTCGACGTAGAGATCCCGTTCTTGCGGCTTGCGAGCTGCAAGTAATAGGTTATTGAATGTTTCGAGGAGCATTTCTAGAAGCGGGAGGATCTCTTTATACAGGAGCTCGAATCGCCCCCCACCGATGCTTCGGAAGAGAGACCTCAGAAGAAGGAAGTAGTTCATAGGCTCCTCAGCTGTGACTGAAAGCTCAATGCACTTGGTTACGATCTTTGTCACATGCGGATGGAGTACCTGCTCATTTTGCACTGAGAACAAGGTCACGGCCATGAAGGAAAGCTTAAACATCCTCAGAAGTATCTTTGCCTTCGTCATGTCCGAAGTCCCAACCTCATCAATGCGTTCCATTAGGTACTGCAAGACCATACCGGAGAACGCAGGAGAAGTGGCCTCGCTAGCCAAGAAGAACTGGGGCAGGTGAAGGAGAGCCCCATGTTCAAACATGAGCTCATGTAGGTACGGGATTTCAGAATGGAAGACTTCGTGGAAGGTTGCGGTATCAATGCAGTGGAAAACAGTGCCGAAACTTTCCAGAAGCTCCTTCTCTTCGCGCAACATTGGGGCAGTGTACTGGCTTGCGAGGAAGTCGAATGGAGATGCGTAGTTCATCTCAGGCGGAGACTGATCCACTCCGTAGTAGCGGAACACACGAGCTCCCTCGTGGAAGAGCTTCTTAATCACACTAACTTCCTCTGCATTGTAACCGTACGAAACTTCCGACCAGTTGATGGGAACGCTGTTCGGATCAATTTGAACATCATCTGGGTTGCAATTCTTGAGTTGCCGGAAGATATTCTTTAGCCCATTAATCAAGTTTCGGAAGAGGAAAATGTTGTCGGAAACAGGGTCACCTCCACGATCACGCGGACTAGATGTCTTGATGGGAGAAGCCGAGAAAATGTCAATTTCATCCCAGTCTGGCGGCTGATCCTTCTCAGCAAGGTAGTTCTCGGCGCACGGCTCGGTGTCCTGTCGGAAAATTTTGTAGGCTCTGGAAACCTTAACAGCGTTCTTAAACTGGTGGTTCATCGATGCGAACTTGTCACCAATGGCATCTAGAATCATGATTAAGAAATACCGTGCCTCACGCTTGTCTTCTAGTTTGGATATATTTTCAGCCATGTTCAGGAGAAGCTTTGCACTCATTGTCTGGAAGCTGGTGCCAGGGAAATCGTCGTGAAGATTTTTAGTGTAGACTTCGACTGTTCGTCGTATCTGGTCACGACTCAGATGATCGCGAACATGGTGTATTAAATCAGCCAACATGCTGTAGGCCAATGGTCTCATGGTCTCATAGACAGTGAGGCCATCTCCGATGAGAGTCCGCTCATCTAGAAGTTCATCAATCTTCTCAAGGAAGATCTTGCGATAGTTGAAGTTAATAATGTGACGAATGGCTACAAGCAACTCCTTCCTTGCACCTGACTTCTCTCGTGGACAATCTTGAAGGAGACGCACGACGACAGAAGGAAGGGTAGGGAGGAAGTCCTGCAGCTGGTGGGCATAAAGACGTAACAAGTATGCCAAGAAGCTCATCGTTTTCACCTGGGCCGTGATGAACTCTCCAAATGCAGCGCGATTTTTGATTTCCTTACACACACCCGTGAAGATTGTGCCTTGGGCTGCTGCTTCTGCATGTGCCTTTTCCTGTGGCTTCGCCTGAAGCAGTAAAATCGTTTTGATGAGCGGCACGAAGAGCTTGACATTAGCCGGCACCGATGCGCGGTGTGTCTGGAAGATTGAAACGACGATAATCGGGCATTCTGCGAGGACTTTGAACGATTGCATACCCTTGAGGAGAACATTGCTCGACTGCTGATCAGGTCCTAGGTCTGACACTGAGGTGGCAGGGGAGCTCGGTCGTGGAGATTGGAAGTTCTGTGCTGTTGCGTTGGGCGTTGATGGCATTCCCGAGGGTGTGGCCTGGTTGGGAGTGTCGAAAGTATCCCGAACCACTTGCTCCATGGTCTGAAACATTTCCTGAATCAGCTCCAAGAAAGCCTGCACTCGGTGTGCGGTGGCCTTGGCTTGGTTCCTCTCCAAATCCATTATGGTCTTCATGCATAGCACCGCATTATCTTCGTTCTCGATCCGCGCAAGTTCCATCAACAAATCGACCATATCGACGGCGTAAGGCTCCACGTCGGGAGAGCCCATCGGCAATCGGTGTAATGTCTCCAGAATGCAGTTTCGTAATTTCTAATGGATGACCAAAGCGGTTAGCCCTTTACGCGCAACATTCACCAACGGCAAGCTTGTTCCAACCAATCTTACCTGGTCGTAAGACATGCTGAAAAAGACAGGGTCTCCCTTCAGAATAGTTTTGAATACCGGCCATAGCTTCGCTAGGAATATAGGATAGCTTGCACCCGAGCATAAAGGCTCAATGCTGTCTCGTAACTCGGTAGCGACATTGGCTCGGACTTTGACGTCTATCGACGTAATTAGCACCGAACGGCAGAACGGATTCACTTGGTGCAGATTCCAGCAACATACCCAATTTCTCATCGCCGAGCTTGCTGGCGTAGATATCTATGTTTCGCTCCATCGCTGTGGTCCCTTCTCGAGGGTTGCGACTCAATGGAAAGAAACAGCAATTACGGCCGGGCCAAGAGGCCGGCTGTTGAGAGCGGAGTGTGCGCAGCCTTTCCGCGGGGATTGGGCTCTCATATGTTGTGTTGTGGTGTCACAAAAGCTCTATGAACTCGGTCGATATGCGGAAAGATCGGAGACTGGAGAACTTAAAACGAAGGAAATCATCAAGTCATTGGCTTTTCCAGGTAAACAAACTGCTTAGTCCATTTGAAGAAATCAATTCCGGACAGCAAATGAGTGAATCGAATTACCCCGCGGGGGGAGGAGAGGCTGAGGGAGATGGGGAGAAAGTTGGATATTGTATGCGGCGCGATATTCTTGAGAGCAGAGCAGAGGACGCGGGCTATCGCAGAGACCCCGAAAGAAACACTAGTCCGCATTTGGTGCTAGTTTCGGAGATGATTATTCCGTTCCGAGGATCTCCCATTCGAGGTGCAGCCTTGCAGAACTATACGGCTTCAACTTTTCAATATGAGTGTCTTTCTGTTCATCTTTGTTCGTGATCTGCTCACGGATCTTTTTGTCTTGTTTTCTCCCTTCTGCATAGCCGCTCTCTTCGAAATGGAATGTAATGTAGGTATCGCTCTATCAGTCCTAGGTACTTTGGGGCTGGTAAGCACAAGCTCCAAAAGCAACATTGCGCTTATTAGCTGTAGAGTCTGTCTTTGTATCTCCCAAGGGCCCAGAGTTAACCTCCTTTGCTAGTATATTAGAAATTTAGTATGATGGGTCGTTATGAACTCATGGAGCGATGTTTATTAAGGATATTATCCACCTCTATACATGTGCATACATCCTATCACGCACCTCGGGCTTATTTAACACACTGATACATAGTTAGCAGCTTGGTCATCTCTGCAAGAGCCGTATTCATGGAGAACATAGGGTCTATCTTTAAATTTCGAGAATCGAGAGGTGTGGCCCACACAACGCCCCGAAAATAAAAGGCTGGTGCGAGCGGTTGTTATCATGGAAAGACAATCTGTAGAATCGAGCAATTTTTATCGCCCTGGCTCTAAGGATTCTTTGAACATCAGAATATCAGATACTTACGATTATCTGATCAGAGAATTATGCAAAATGATGCCATCAAAAAACCCGCGTTAACACCCCTGAAGAACGGCAATAAGATTGTCCTCTGCCTAGTAACACTAGAGTTTCTAGTCATTCTACATGGTAGGTTTTTCTCAGTACACCTCACACACATTGTAAAACACAGGATTCTAATCTGAGCTTTTTTTCTGGGCAACGACTCTGGTATCTTGATGGTGAAAGCCCCAATGTGGCTCGTAACCATCGAATCCTCCTTCCACGTGGTGTCAGCCCCCGCAATCGGGCAGCCGTGACTATCGTCCCCCCAGACGAAATTCCTACAAGGTTTCAAAGACTTTCTATTCAGCATGGAATACCGCATTTCGATTGTATTGGCGGTAGACCTCTGCTTCAGGTGGGTTATAGATCACAACCGGACTGTTCAAACCAACCCAATGTCGGATATGGCGCGAAACTGGTTCACTTATGCTCCGCGGTTGCGCACGCCAAAGGCGATGCTGAAGAGAGATACCTCTGTGAGAAAGCTTTCTGGAACAGTACAGAGCTCCAGCTGAATGTGGTGCGGGGTATCTATTGCCCCCAAGCTCCACATCAGTAAGACGCACCGGATGATTCAATGTGCGACATTTGCGATTCTCACCACCAAGTTGGAAGTTGCTATCAACAATTTTAAAGTGTCGTCCTGTTGGGAATCAATAATTACAAATACATCTATGGAAATTTACATTCACAAAGGCAAATATTGACCGGGCCGTTGAGGATCTATCTCGTAGAGTGGCGGTCACTATTTGCCCCTTCGTTGTACCTGATTATGAGGCCCGCCGACCAAAGTCGATTTTTGTCTGAGGATAAATCGATAGATCTTCAAGCCTCTTGCATAGTCTCTCCGGACACGGCTGAATACGTGAGGGCTCCGCCGACTCACTCCCAACGGAGTCTCTCATTTCCAATGACGCACAAGAAATACCGGGATGCCTAGCGCAGCTGAGCTAGAGAACGGAGAATTACCTTTCACTTATCATGGAACGCATTGGCCCTTTTCTAGGGGCTGATATAAGCGACGGTCGACTGGGTTTGATGGGATGTAATTCAGTCTTCTTGGCTGCAGATATACCCATCGGGACCGATGCTTCTAACACGACAGTACATGCAACGATAAAACTAAATGGGATGTGTGCCTGGGTCAAAAGCCCTAATTCGATCGAACATATAGGTGGAAAAGGGGACACATTATAGATATCAGCAAAAACCAGAACAAGTGCAAGCCGGAGAAAAACATGGTGATTTTGAGAAGCCGTTGTATCTCCACGATAAACACTTGACATCCCTTTGCCTGTATCAGCTCTCCAGGCTCTATCTTGTCGATCGGTGATGGAGGAGCATGCCAACAAATTTCCATCAGGGAAAATATCAAGTGTCGATGATCGTCATAGCATCCATCCCTGCCCGATTGCCCTGCCAAAACGGTCTATAAATCTTATGACTCTGATCTGAGCTTAAGGTGCCAAATTTTGTTTTACCAGTGCAGAGTATTGGCAGCGACAATAGAAATTCAGTGGTGCGTATGGAAACATAAGGCTTGAAACATGCACATAGAATGCACGAGAGGATAGAAAAATTCGAGCTGAGAAACAAAATAATCTCCATGGGCAATTCAGCTCTCGTGATTACAATCGCGTGTTTGCGACTTAGGTGGCACTTAATGCTTGCGGAATAATCCCCTGATCATCGCTCTGTTCAAGCTTGCTGGTTTTCTACTGCTTGTCTTTGTGGCCTTTCTGAATTGCTAAGATAAGAAGATCACCCATGCCTATGTACATCGTGCAAATTCGAACCATCTGGTCTCCAGCTGGGTTTGCACTTAACGGCGCTTGCTGTGTTTTCATTTGCTATATTAGTCGAGTCTAAATTAAATCCGCGTTCACTAAAGTGAACCTTTTACCCTCCGGTCTGGTTTTAGGAAATTGAGGGCACTTTAGATACCAGTTAAGGAGTGATGAACACGCAGAATGCCATCGCTCCCGCTGTTATCTTAACTTCTAGATATATCACTTGTTATAGCTAGAATATAGCTCGAGCTCGGTGTCGTCTCTTGTGCTAATTTCACGGTTCAATTAAAAGAACTTGGTCTGAAATATTTCTACATATGCCAACGGAAGCTACTAACGGAGCTCAAAGACCTTGGGATATCCGTTGCCTATATTGACCTCAGCATAAGTATTCATCGGCAGCCAGAGCTTGGGTCCTAACTTTGAACCATCAACCAATTCGTCCCACGTAACTATTTCGGGCAGTCGTAAAACTGGTCATCACAGCCAGGCCCCCATTGGCAGCCTTGGCTTTTTCTTTGCTTTTCTTAGAGCCACGCTATGAGCGCTATTCGTTGCACGGTGTCATGGGTCGCGGTGGGCTGAAGTACTAGTGAGGTAGCTTAGTGTGTTTCCCTCACCATAAACGAACCATTAACGGCCTTGAGGACGTATGAATATACCTCAGCCTACCTTGAACCTAGACCTAACAGTTCCTTAAAGAGATTATTGGCATTTACACAAGCGAGCTGAGTCATGTAGCAACAGATGGAACCGTGCACGGTACGTAGACATCCCTTGCATAATGTGATCTGTCGATTCGGTGCCGAACGTAGCACTCTGTGCGTAACACGAGGTCACGGAAATTATTTGCCCTCAGCAAATACGATGCGGAACTTCTTTTGATACTGCAGGTGACTTTTCTTGTGGGCTTGCCGGGACGTGGAACGATGGCATTGGCGTGGAATATAGGTTCTAATGCCTTACATTTAGAATGCCTTTTTAGATGACAATCAACACCTCCGACACACTTCTTTTCTGGAAAACCCCTCATACCACCCTACCAAAATGACGGTCTCTTCGACTGTGCAAGCTCTCGGAGTCACTGTGCCAGCGGTCGCGCAAGAGGCAGATATGCCCCATCGTACGCTCAGCAAGTCAATGACCTTTGCCAATCTAGACCAACGCCAATATTGGCATGCTGTTAGTCCAATGCTGGGGAGAATGCTCTCTGACGGTAACTACAGCATTCATAAGTAATATGAAGATCTGTGTCTCTTCGCGCATGTCATCATCCCAAAGCTGGGACCATTTCCGGGTGGAAGAGATATTTATAAATGTCTGCTTCGAGGCACCGGCTCTGTGGAGCTCAGTCAGAATGTTCAGAAATCAGGTCTGACTGCACGAGTTGCGTTTGAGCCCACAAGCTACATTGCCAGCACTGGAGTCGACCCGCTCAACCGGCACACGGTACATGCTAGCCTGGCTAATTTGTGCTTTTCTGCTATTCAGAAAATGGATAAGCAAGGAGTTTTCGACGCTTCAAGCAAGGTCATTGAGACCTGTATGCAAACCCAGAGCCAGACAGACCTATGTTTTTTGTCTTGTGATCTGATCGATCTAGCGAAAACTCGGATCAAGCTTTATCTTCTGGAGCTCGACATGAGGTTGGAAAAAGTCCAGGAGCACTTGACAATGTTTTCCATGCAACCAAACGCTTGGGCCCGAAATGGATCCAAAGCGCTACGGGTGATCTGTACGGCTATTGCGGATCGAACATGATGCAGGTTGATCCACCTTGAAGGTTCTATATGCAAAAATCCCTAGTGATCATCAGATGAATACTCGGATTTCATGTTGGTCTAAGAAGCTGCATTTCCATCAGCCTCAAGGGGATGGAGAGAAGATCCGTGCAGATCCACGAAAAGCACATTGGCTCAGACTAGCTTTAGATCGACATCGATCGCCACTGATAGTGGCAGGGATCTTGGAATTGGAGGGACACTGGGCATTAAAAGCATAGGAACTGTCGATTGCCTACCTCGGGATTCGATAATTTCGAACTGTCCTTTGCATTCACATGGCACGATGCTTTATAGAATTGACGGGGTAGGAACTAGACCTGGGTTCCGTCGGATATAGGCTGCGTCGATGTCTCAAAGCTCATGGATCACCTAGCTTGTCTTGGGCAGTCGGTAGTAGCTTATTGGACATGGAGAAAGACAAGCCTGACATAAGACCAGTCTTGTATTCTACCTATTCAACTTGTATCGTGAAATTTGAATCCCATTGCCTCGAAGCGCACATGATCAGGGAAAAAGGTTGACAACTTTCCTACTGGGAATGCAGACACCTGGGCAAAATGAGTTCATGGAATCAATCTATGCATTGCAGGTAGTCCGAGTAGCTAAATCTAATCCAAGATTATTAGAATCAAAAGAAGAACGAACAGCGCTTCGTCCAATGTGTGGATCAGCTCGGTCAGTGTAATTTGACCTTGTTCGACGGCCTGATACAAGGTAATAATAGCACAGGCAGAGGCATCGTCATGGTTTATTGCATGTATATATGATTTCCGATTGAAATTGGACCATTTGTGTGTGGAAGATGTGCAGCTTGCTCCTTAAAGCCGGGTGAAAATATTTGCTGAAGGAGAAGAGTGACAATCCCCCCTTAAAGGCATATTGAAACACATCAGTGTGAAGATCGGTGATGAGCAAGAGTTCCTCTGTCACTTCCGGGGACAAATTTCCATATTAAAGGTCGCTTATAACCCAAAAGGGCAAAAGCTTGAGATCCTCGGCCGGCTTGATTCGCAGCGCTTTCCCGCCCTCATGTTCCTTGTATAACTCGGAAAAATGGTAAGAGATGTGAGACTGTACAAAGGGAACATATGTCGTAGGCTTCTGGGTGAATGGTGGTGAAACTACAGCATGGACCTTTCTCCAATGTCCTTAACTAATCAGCCCGACACCATCGCCAACTCGATCGCCCATTACCCATCCACCATTCTGGTTGGAGGCCTTGTAGTGGTTGCCAGAGTTTTTGAAGACCGTCTTAATCTCATCCGCCCGGGTCACAATGATGTACGTTCTTTTAGCCTGAACAGTTCATCTCAGGAGAGGGAACTTGCATTTCTGGCGTGAGGCCAACCCATATGCGGTACACTGGGCCATATCTCTCAGATCACTGACGAGAGATCTTCTCTCCCTCCAGAAACTTGAGACTCTCCCCGCCATCTGAAAATCGGTAGGGGCAAGTTGGGATGGACGTTGCACCATCTGTGGAATAGATTGAGTACCACCAGATCAAAAGCCTCTCCATTGACACGAGAATGAACGTTAGCAGTGTGCTTTTGATGTATGACAGAGTACTGCGGACATTGAGAACGTAGGAAATCACTCTATTCGACCAAGAATTTGGGGTAAAGGCGCGCCAGAAGGTGACTAGAAGTGATACAACTGCCAGTTGCAGTGCAAGAAGAATGTAACTTGACATCACGTGGAACTGATGCTAGAAAGAAACCGAAGTAAACAAACGGACGATTCAACTTTGGAGACGAATTTGAACAATTCGCAAAGAACGGCATGACCGAAACTGCCCACATAGGTCCGTCAAGTGAGTTTGGCTCGTACATCCCATCCTCAGAACAAGTATCATTGAAATACAAGATGGCCAAATGCTCCAAGTTGTTACCAAGCACAACTACTCATGCAAGGAGATTTCAGCTATGGAAAGTGGCCAGTCGATGAACTTGGGGACTCCCCTTGCGCGTGTGAAATTTCATCCTGGACAAACCTCCAGTGGATTGGATTCTGGCATTTCTCTGATGACCATACACCACGCTCTTTTTGATGGATGGTCATATCTGCAGCTGCTTGAGGATCTCCAGCAAATCTACAGCGGAGACAGACTGCCACCACGCCCTGCCTTCAATCTTGTCATTGATTACATCTCTAAGTTGAGCATTGAGGAGGATCGCTTTTTTTGGAGTCAAGAGTTCATTAATGTCCAAGCAAAAAGGTTCCCTGTCTTTCCCCGGCGGCCGCTCGTTGAGCCAAACTGGCAGATCAGAAGCCAGCAAGTTGCCCTAGCCAAGTCAGATATGAACTGGGCCCTTGCCAATAAAATCAAATTGGCATGGGCTCTTGTGATCTCTTCTCAGACTTCCTCGAATGATGTGATTTACGGCTTGACAGTCTCCGGCCGAAATGTTCCAGTTCCAGAGATAAATCGTATTGCTGGGCCAACTTTTGCAACATTCCCTTTCCGCACGCAGCTTGATGACGACATATCGGTGGAAGATATGCTGATTCAAGTTGCTTGGCGCGGGAGGCTGCGTCTGTGTGCCTTCTGGAGCTCAACGCATGAACAGCTTGGCTAAAACAATGACAACCATGCAAGTCAACGTCGCTATGCTGACTCCTTCAGTGGCACGAACCCTATCGCCAGTCGTAGTCCCTTGCCTCCAAACCCTGATCCTCGGAGGGGAGCCACCTTCAGTCTCTGATCTGGCGATGTGGGCCTCGCGAGTCCAGCTACATCAATCCTACGGACCGGCTGAGTGCGCTATGTACACGACCACTACAACGCCCTTGACTCCTAACTCCGATGTGAGCAATGCCGGATCTTCTCCAAATGCATCTAACTGGATTGTTGATCCCGAAAACCATGATGAGCTTCAGCTTATCGGCTCGGTAGGAGAACTACTCATCGGTGGGCCAATTATTGGAAGAGGGTATGTCAATCGAGCCCAGGAGTCAGCTGTAGCCTTCATTCGTGATCCAATCTGGAGCGAGAACTTTCCTTTCTTGTGAGGAGACCGACTTTACAAGACTGGAGATCTCGCTGTCTTGAACGCCGTAGGGTCTTTGACTTTGGTCGGCCGAAAGGATACACAGGTCAAGCTCATTGGGCAGCGGATTGAGTTGCACGAGATTGAGCATTGTGCCGAGAGATACCAACATGATACTGCAGTTATTGCAGAATTGATCAAATCAGCCGGCATCCGGAGACCAAGACTTTTCATGTTCGTCCATGATCCTGCGACGGTAGAAATGACGGCGGGCATCAACTCCGCTTGTCATGGCCATCGGGAGTTGTTTTTCTCGCCGCATAGACCAAATCAAGAATCCCTTGAGGGTTTAAAACGCCATCTGAATCGTCAACTTCCACCCTATATGATACCTTCATTTTTTATTTCGCTATCCCGTCTGCCACTAAGCCCCAGTGGAAAGGCTGACCGCAAGGCACTACGCCAGATTGCATCAGAAATGGATAGAGAGACATTGCAGATATATCTAGTTAATCTAATGGCAGAGAAAAGGGAACCAACTACAGAACAAGAGCGATTTGTCCGCGCAAATTTTGCCACAGCCCTATCATTAGATGAGGAGGCCATTGGAACAGACGATCACTTCTTCGCTCTGGGAGGCGATTCCATCACTGCCATGCGAGTTCTCACTTTGTGTCGGAGAAGAAATTTGGCAATCTCGGTGCAGGACTTCCTCTCAAAGAATACTCTATCCTTGTTTTGCACACATATGATGGTGGTCCAAGGTCAGACCGTTGATTCCAAACGTCAGAAACTCCTGAGTTCACAAGACCCGACTCGACGGGGAGATCATCTTTGACTAATTCACACAATGTTTGTTTTGGAACCATCACTTCTGGGCGTGATACCCCTCACCTTGAAGTATGGAATGTTGTTGATTCATTTTTCAACGTTATTCCGTGTCGAATTCTGATTGATCCCACGTGCACGGTGCTGGACACGCTACGACAGAAGCAGAAGGATGTCCAGCGTCGAGATGACCATCAGCAAGTACTGTTCCATGCTCGACATATTTCGCAAATCTGGAATCAAGGACTTAGACAATGACCAGCAGCTGTTTAATACAGTTCTGACAGTGCAGAACCCGTTCTCAACACAACCATCTCCTGCGAATGACAGGAGAGATAAGATCGACATCAAACTCATTGATATGGAGGATGCAACTGAGGTAAGTATCTGGGGAACTAAAAACTGATCAGACTGACCAAAGATAATTCTTTAATAATGACCTTTGCGTGGCTATTTTTCCCGCCCCCTCCCACGTCGAGGTCGAACTACGCTACTGGTCGACAACTACATCTGAGGAATATGCTTCGGATGTTCTGGATCGCCTTTTTAATCAGCTGGAACAGATTGTGCACCATGCGACCAAGCCATTGGGTGCCATCACCAGCATTGGGTGACAATCCTGTTTCCCACAAGCCGTTGACGATGGCTCCTTTGGTGAAAATGCGAAGGTCAGGGTCAACGGAGTCCCGGTCTTTTGGCATCTAGTTTTCAACACTGTTCGTTTGATAATTTTACGATTTGCACCTTCGGACAATCCCGGGTCCTTGTTTAAATTGTCCTTTGCATGTACAACGATGTTTACAATCATCAAATACTACTTCGTCGTCTAAGCTGCTCTACAAGTACCCCAAGCATTAGACTCCAAGGCAAAATCATATCTTAGAACTGGTCTAAAATAGTAGAAGAGAAACAACAAGAAAACAACACATGGACAGCCACCGACATAGTGGTCAATGGATGAAACGCCATTCGCACCCGTTTTCCATACCCGAACACGGTTCTAAGACTGGTTCCAACTCAAATTTTTGAGGGAAGCCCGTCGCGAAAGGGAAAGTTTCGAGAAAAAAAGAAAGAGAAAATCCATGTACACAAAAGAAAAGGGAAGAAAATGGGAAGACAAATCAAAGGCAGGGGGGCACAGGTTGAGGGCATCAGTCCGGGCGAGTACCGCCGAAAATCAAAAGACAAAAATATCGTTGCCCCATCGTCGCTATGCCATCGCAAGAGAAAATAAAAAAAAACGAGAAATCACAGGTCCATCAGCGGTCCACCTCCTCCGATACGTTATTTGGTAGAATTGCTTCGATGCAAGATTTGTACATTAGTTGCACTGGTACCACTGCCGACCGATCGTCGTCGCGAGCGAATCTCGCCACCATTTCCGCTCTGTCGCCGCCGGCCAGTGTTGCGAATCGAACCTCGGCGTCGTGTCTGAAGCAAACGGACGTTTTCACGTTAGAATCACGCTGGCTGTACATGGGCGGACGTGGTCTCTTAGCAAAAGACAAGTACGAGAACGATAGGGCCAAACAAGAAAAAGAGGTAGTTCGCATAGGAATGCACGTATCTGGGCAGCAAAGCAGCACAGATCAGAGATGCACTGGACTTACCGAATTAGGGGTGCCTTCCCGGCTAGGCCGTTCCTTGGAAAGATCGGGATCCTCTTGCAACTTCAACGAATTCAACCGCTTTTGGTTTTCTTGGGTCATGGCCTCTACCTCATCGATCGGCTCCGGCACGTCAAAAACGGGAGGTGGTGGTGGAGGAATGCCATTCTTCCGGTCTTTGGCCTGTTGTTCAATCACGTCCCACCGGTCTGTACGAGACTTTTCGCGTTGGTCTGCGTTGTTCTGTTGCTCCGTGTAATCGTGAGAACATTCATCGAAGAGTTGCGGGTTGATCTCCATGAACATCTTCATGGCATTGTAAACCATGCTGTGGATTGTTCTGGATGAAGAGTCAGCTCATGTCAAAGAAACAAATTCAAATCAAACTCACCGGTTCCAGTGTCCCTTTGAGTTCTCATAAAGCGGCGCAAACATTAGCGGGAGAATTGTCTCCACATTGTCGCTCACAAGATTACAGAAGTACTCGTTGTTCCAGAAGTACAAAGCACGTTCGGCGACCTGGAAATGGGGGCTGGCAACAGACTTGGCCAACTGATTGAACAGAGGCTCCTGGACTTTGGCGAATTCGCCCGGGTCCATTACCTCGAAAATGTCTTCCACTTCATTCAGGAACATAACTTCCTTGATGCTGTTGGTTTTGGGCCAGAAGCGCAGTAAGCCAAGGACAACCTATACAGTGCGGTTAGTACTCAAGGTAGATGGAGGAAAGATCAGGGAGAGGTTACATCTTCAGTCAATGAGGAGTCTTTCTCCAAAAATTGCACAATGCAGTAAGCCAGTTGCGGATGGTACATGCTGAGACTCTTCACCTTGTGCATGGGCAGGAGCACTCTGGTCAAGAAAAGCTTGTGTTCCTCCTTCAGCGGCAAAGCAAACCCATTGATAATGGAGCCCAGAATCTCGAGCAATTCAGCGATTCCATTATGGCGTTCTGTCTCGTACATGAACTGGAAGAATACGTTGTTGATGGATCGGCGAATGTATGAGCGTAAATTCAAGAACTTTCCATAGATGCGATGCAAAGTCGTTTTGAGGAAGTCACGCTCCCGGGGATCTTCCGAGTCAAAGAGGTCCAACAACTAGATGTAGTGTTAGCTTGCACTGAAGATGGAAATCAAGCATCAGGAGACTTACCGATAGCACAAACTGATGGTCGATATAACCCTTCGCGATGTTCGTATTGAAATCCTGGCTTTCAATGAATCTCAAGAAGAATTCATACACGACCTGAATATGAGGCCAAGCGACTTCCAAGACGGGTTCGTCCTCTTCCGGGTCAAATGCTTCGCCCTGGAGCGTCATAGGCGGAGGAATAGGACGGAACAGGTTCTTGGCGAACATCTCCACCACGCGGGGGTACATGGGCTCTGTGATGACGGACCGGTTGTTGGCAACATAATCTAAGAGTTCGTGCAGCGCCAGCCTCTTGATCTCCTTGGGCTTCATATCGGCCGTCGGGTCATTGAAATCGAAGATGATATTACATTGGTCGATCTTTTGCATGAACAAATCCTGGCGGCGATTGGGAGGCACTTCGTGGAATCCAGGCAACTTCTCCAATTCTCTCTGACGCTGATCGGAGATATCGAATCGCGATGAATGTTGGCGTTTGGGAGTTCGGATACCCTCCGACATATCCTTTGGGGTTGTCTGTAGCCGGTCGAAGACATTAGACTTCCTCGGCGGTGCAAGATCTCCGGGCATCGTTTCGGCAGCGCCAGGAGGGGGCACATGCTATGAAATCAAATCGTTAGCAAATACAATCAGTCACCAAAGTGTACAACAACAACTGGGCTTACCGGTGCACTTGGGCTAATGATGACACTGGGAGCCGCCTGCTGGCCCTGCCTATTCGGAGTTGATGGTCCATTGCTTAAAGGCTGTCCCCCGGCGCCCGGTTTGGGTATATAGTGTTGAACCGAGGTGCCAGGGTGAGGTGCGCCCGCGGAAGGGGTTCCGGCGGGTGAAGCATTGTCCGGCGATTTGTTTCGCGGGTCACTGAGAGAGGTTGTGGAGGAGGTGGGTGTCCCTTGGTTGGGGGAAGTAGACTGCTGTGTGTTGGATATGCCGAGGGACTGATTCTGTGAGGAGTTGGAGTCTTTCTTTTTCGAGGACTTGTTGTCTTTCGCCCGCGACAACTGGTCGTGCTAAAGGCCAGGCATAAAAAGTTAGATGATTTGCGAAATTATAAAGATAGCACCACCTTCAAAGCGAAGAAGGGGATGGATGGGCAGAAGTGATAGTGCGGTGAGGTGCACTTGGACAGGATACGCGGGTAACTTACCACTCTCTGTCTGAAACCCTTCATTTTGATGACTTTGTAGATGGCCACATGTACTCGGCTAGGTTTCTTGGTACCAGTGCAGCCAGGCGCCACACTCTAGCCGGAGTGAATCGAGAGGGCCGACGGAGATAGCCGCTCAGCAAAGCCACGAGGGGGGGGGGATGTGTTTGGATCGACCTAATAGGAGAATCTTATAAGCGGTCCGAGTCACACATCAGGCAAGACGGTTATTGCGAAGAGAAACAGTTCTGAGAAGCGGGTATCAAGTGCTATCAATGCATAGAGGAGAAGCTGAGTTTCAATGGCAATAGTATCAGGTGCCTCAAACAATGTGCAGTCACAGCACGCGCACGGAGCAAGACGATGATGCTAGGAAGAAAGGGCCACCCACTACAGGCAATGGGAGACGGGTGTCCGATTAAACGTACCTCAGTAAAATTTGGGTTAAGCAATTGACAGATCGAGTGGGAAACTGCTTGAGAGCAGGGGTTATTGGGCAAGCTTGGTCGGCGCTGGAGGATCTCCGTGTCGCTAAGTGGCAGGCTGGGAGTGGGGGGTTTGGAAGCACCAGAGGGATAGGCACTCAGGTCGCAGCCCACTGCGAAAGCACGTAAATCACGATTTGACTAGCAAGAGACAAATTTGCCGATGTATAAGAGACCAGATAAAGATGATGGCGTCGAGTTGTGGAGAGGAGGGAGGGAAGTGGATGATTGTTGTTGAGGTGTAGGGAAAGGCGGGCTGGTTCTCCTGGCTGAAATGGTGATGAGAGGGGGACCACGACCAAGTTCTATATGGACTGTACGTTTCTTAAGTGACTTAGATCTCTTTATACTTCAGTTTGAGCGAATGCGTTAACTCGATAACATAATGATCTCCTCTCGTCTTGTCCCAACACAACTTTCGTATGCTTTTTCCCGCTTGTTTCAAATTCTGCTTATGTCATGTCGCACGTGCCTCCCAGGGGACTCGAATTTCAGGCACAGACATAACAACGTCACTGCACTTGGGACACTTTGGGATCGAAGGTGTTGGGCTCAGTCTGAATAGGTGGTGATGCAGTCCACTACATTTATCTTCGAGTCAAGCAAAGCAGGTTTTGGAAGTGGAGATCTTTTTAAAGAGGTCCTTGTTCTTTAGCCCACATCAGATTACAACATGCCAGGCTAAACTGTGCGAGGCATCAAAGTTGAACTCAACAGGAAATCTCTACTTGAAAACGTTTCAATACTTGGGCTGGCCAATTTTGTGACATCTGATATGCGAGCTATGACTGCTGAGACCATATCGATATTTCAGTGGAAAGTCGTTTGAAGACGTTGAAAAATATATATTTCATTTAAATGACTTGAATCTCTACTGTGATTAATTCAATTACAGTGGACTTTACCTCGAGATTTCCTTTTGCTTTTTGGGGGTTTTTTCTATAGCTTCTATTAAGGTATATTTGACGTCTTTACATCAAAATCAAAGGGGAAATGTCTTCTCAAGACAAGAGCACACATTCCAATTTGTACCATCATTAGAAAATTCACAAAGACCTCACGAGGGTGTGAACAGCTACACAGTAAGTATAAGATACAACCTTTGCACAGGGGCTATAATTCTTTTCATCACACTACCACGACCGAAACAGATAAACAGGGCTCTAAAGAAGACAATCTGCTCTAAATCAAGCCTAGTCAGTCATCCTCTCTCGCAATCCTCGCCACGTTTTTCAATACCTCAAGTTTCTTTACCAACTGACCATTGCGTATGCACTAGCTCTAACTTCCCTTCTTCGTGCTCACAATCTTTGAAACATACCTCAAAGCAGTCCTAACTTCCACCACGGCGGATGTCATCATACCCTGGATCGCTTGTCAAAATCTAGGCACGCTACCTTCAGATGAATGGAATTCCACATGCGAGTTGTGTTGCGGAACTAGGTACCTGACCAGCTATTGGCATTTGCAGTGTCTTCGCTACAAAGTCGGCCATTGGAATCATGGCGAGCCCTTTGGCGTGATGTTCACAATCGACGTTATTTCGCCGCACAGGTGCATTGATTGCAAAAATATCGAGGACCTTTGTGATTGGGCAAGTTTTGACGATTTTTGAATTCCTTCTTTCCTACGCTCACAACGATTGGGACCTTTCGCAGATCCTGCAGGGTTTGAAGGGACACGCTTTCGAGCTGATGGTCTTGATCCAATTCGCGGAAAAATTGTTGGAATGTCAAGGAGAATGTATACGAGGAACTCCGTGACGCAGTCTGTAACCTCCGTACTCCCTTTGATCACCTGGTCGAGACATACCGCAAGGCTCACATTCTCACAGGCATTGTCTCCGAGGTGGTATTTTTTTTCCAATACGCCCTACATCTGTGAGTACTTGCTAATTTTTGAACAGAATGCCAAGGGTGGCTATTTTATGTAGTGCAGAGCTAGAGAATATACAGCCCGTGCCAGTTCCCAGTCGACCAGGCAGATGTATCATAAGTATGCTGTCCGAGCTACAGAGCATGTCTGCCTTCGTACAGGTAAGGAGGCATCTATCAGTTAAGCCGCCGCGATTTGTGCCTTCTATCAAGCTGTCAAGGCCAACTTTGAAGAGATTGCCCGTGGGCCGGACTCCGTGCTCACTTCTGCCGACATCAAATATGCCAAAGACAAATTTCCTCTGGAGATTCCAGTGCTTTGAATCGATTGGGTTGCTTTGCCTCACCCTTTGCGGTGGGCTTTAGTGATCATTTCACATGGCTATGCTCACGGTTCGCTCTTGATTTTTGTTTTGATTTTTCAGGTTTCCTGGCGAGGCGGCTGTTGAGCAGGACCTCTTTGATGTTTCCCGCCTGGTTCTGCGGTTGTTTCAGAGCCGTTGCATAGCATCTTAAATGAATTGTTTTCTAGCAGGTAAGTCTGTTCATGGTATCATTTAGAACCCTCGACTCCATAAAGCACGAAGTTTCTTCATCTTTGCCGTTTCGTAACTTGGACAATAGAAGAGGTGGCAATACCCAGAAGCCAAAACGCAAGTTTTATGAGTAAATTGTAGGACCTCATGATCGCGTTAGGGTGGTATCATTTAAAGGAGACAATGATGAAGACAGGGGTCAGGAGAGCAATGTAGAAGCCTCAGAGAAGAGACAAAAGACATGAAGGCAAATTGCGGACCTGTAGTAGGATATTGGGGTATGGAAATTGCATACATAGGGGGAGATGGAGCTGATATTTAAGATATATACCGGTCTTAAGAAATCTACCAGTCCATAAAGTTTTTTTGGTAATTTTGACTTGGACTGTAATTCAACTCATATATTTTCCGATGCAGATCATAGCATGCTGGGACAAATGACAAACACATGTGGCAAAAGGACAGAGATCGATGGAGAAAGCAGCGATTAGTGTCACAATTCATGTGTTCTTCATTTCATTTCAAAGCCCTCCAAGGAGCGTCGCAGGACATCATGCGAGGATTTGTGTCTACACTAGCTGTAAGCTTCTTGAGCCGCCTATGATTACAGATGTACATAGTACCTCGTCGAGTTTCATCCAAATTCTCACAATCTTATTGTGATAACATTAGGACCAGTGGCAGTGCAGCTACTAAAATTCTCTTCAAGCCCAGGGGAGTGTTTGCTGCAGCACTGTTTTTCTCGCTTTTGTCACTAGCACCGATAGCTGAATTTTCTACAGCGTAGGTGTAATAAAGATTAGCAGCTTTCTGCGTACCTGAGCTTTCAACAGCAGTGGTAGCAGGCAGCCCGACGGCCGAGATCGTTGACCATCAATTTGCCAAAGGATAGAATCCTGTTGTTTAGAGATTGGCGCTATAGTAGGCGATCGAGACCCCCATCACGTAACTTTATGGGGGAACCAGTGGTAGCCTCCATGGAAGTTAGTCTTTGGTCGAATCAAGAACAGAGCGCAATGGCAGGATACACTGTGGCAAAAATGCACCCTCAATGTCCCCATGCTTCCTGAAACAAACTCTTCATCTTATCCATCCTTCAGTTGCTGGACAATGTCCGATTTTTATAGACCAAGATCTGGCCGGTCAAGTTCTGGGCAACATACCGTCGGATGGCCCTTGCTCAGCAGAGTAAGCTAATTCACGGCTATGGGCTTATCATCTATATAGACTGTCCAAGGCTGGGTGAGTATGGCCAAGTCTTGTACTAATACCTAGATGTTGTGTCTCACGTATGGCGAATGGGAATCTTCAACAGTAGAATCGAAAGCTCGAAGGGGAAGAGGAACAGGTGAAAGAATCCAACATGGCAAAAGTCGAAGGAAGGGGCTGAGTGTACATGGCAGCGCGAGAGGGAGGAGGTCTCCATGGCCCAGGGCTCCAGGGGGGCAGCGTGTCTGCTTCAGTGGACATATAACTTCTGATCGAACCATATCAGGTCTCTCAAATGCCAGTTCAATACCCCCTCTTGAAGTGTTTCTTCAAAACGTGCTTGGTCTTGTGGGTAGTGTAATCCCGAAGACAAATCAGGCCGCTACTCCTGATGGATTGCATAAGACCATTTGACCGCTAGGCCAAAAGATCATAAGGACAAACAGAACGTCTATTTGTCATTGCAGCGGTATATATAAAAGGCCCTAATATCCGTTAGGGACAACTCTAGTTACTTGCAGGCACCGCAGCGGCCTTTGTCGCGATGAGTCAGCGAAACTTGCCGGCGCACTAACCGCTTGTGGAATGTAGACTTGATTCTTTTCCTTAAACCTGAGAGATATCGCTAGGAGCCTTGAATTGTGCCGGAGTTGAAGGAATACACAGAAACAAATCCAGATAAGTGAATAGCGCTGAGAGTACCGGAGGAAAGTGGTAGCGTTGCCTTTGGTCGCATTTGCGCGATCCCACCCAAGAGCAAGCCAAAAGCAACCGCAACCAATATCAATTGAGACTCACAGCTGGCGCGAATAATATTTACAACTACATGACCCACGAGTCTGATCCAAAATCAATCATTATGGATGATAAACGGGGGCCCAGAACTGCTCCCTTCTACATGGTGCCATCCCGTCGCCTTGTCAGTGTTGAGCACCCGGCCGTGGTCCGCAATGTCGACAAAGCGATTGACACGTTACAAGGCAATGCCGGAATTAAAACAGTGAGAATGGTAGCCCCTCTGAAATATTGTTAAATTGATGCTAATGCAATCCAGATCCTGAACCCAGCCCAAGAAGGCACACTAGCTAATCTGGTATTGCGGCCAGAAGATGCCATGGCTCGATCGGTCCAGTCAACGAGTATGCAATCGAACAATGTCCTGCTCAAAGTAACTGTGCCCAAGAGGACAGGAAGAAGGCGCAAGAGAGGCTCCAATGAGCCTTTCGCAAACGTACCAGAGTCGAATACATCCGGGCCGCCCCCACGACGGACCGCGAAGGATCTCTTGCGCAGTCTGAGTGACAACCCTTCCAAGTATCAGATTGAGCCAGTTGGAAGGGTTGAACGCACACATGTGTTCCGAGGTAAGCCCACCACTTTGGTACCTATTTGCTATCTTTAACATCTGAAATCAGGAATTCCTGATTTCGTTTACTCAACCACGGCGAGTACCTTTACGAATCGATTCCGAGACCAGATTCTTCCCTTTGACTGTGAGTCCGCTTGACGTGAATGCCCCCGAAACGTCGCTAACAACCCACAGTCGACAAGATGAAGCAATTCGACATCGACATGACCAAAGGCGCTTCCGGGAATGCAGATCTCATCCCACCGCCATCATTCAGCCACGGGGATGTCCCATTCCACTACATGTAAGAGCCATCACGTCCAAACACTAGGCCAACACCAGGAGACCACTAACCTCTGTCTCCCAGCTACCGACAAAACCCAACGGTGAAACAGGCAATCGGCCGCTCCGGCAAACTAGAAACCGTGAACACACAAACCGCCAACAAAGTTCTAACCCACCTAGTCCCCTACGATATACCCAAAGTTCCATCCGAGCCACGTCCAGACATGCTCCCAATAAGCGCACTGGACGCAGGCATGCTCCGCACAATCGCGACACTAAATGCTCTGTACGAAAAACAGCCCGCCTGGACACGTCGAGGACTCCGCAACAACCTCACAACGGACGAAGAACGTCTGAACCTGCGGCACGCAATTCCATACGTGGGCTACATCTTCCGATCTGGACCATGGCGTGACGCAATCATCAAACTGGGCGTCGACCCACGCACCTCACCAGAGTACCGACACTATCAAACCTTCATGTTCCGCCTCCTGGCACGGGAAGCGGAACTCGCACGCGACGGCGGCGGCGGCCGACGCCACAACGTTCCCCGACCAAGCGACCAGCGCGTAGGCGAAGACGAAAACGCCAGCGGGCCGTCAACGGGCCACATCTTTACCGGAAAGCAACCCTTTGCACAAGACGGACGGATCTGGATGGTCGGTGAGATTCAGGACGCGCAGCTGCGGGCAGAGTTATATCCTCCCGAGGCAGGACCTGGATTCCTGCGCAGCGAGTGCGACATTGTTACTGATGGGTGGTTTGGGAATGGCACGCTTGCGAAGGCGAAGACGGTTATGCGCCATAAGATCCAGGCGTTGATGGAAGGGCGGGAACCTATTGATGCGGATTATACGAAGATCTTGCGGCTTCCTGCGCACGCGCGGTCTGAGGCTGATTTCCCGCTTTTCACGCTTGATCCTGACGTTGCCACCCAAAAGGAGATTAGTCTTGCTACAGAGGTTCGGGCGGTTATTCGTGGCTCGCCGGTCTGGAGGAATTTGTCTGCTAACGCTGGGTTGGTGAGGAAGGAGGCTGGGGAGGGGAGGGGCAAGGTGAAGGGAAAGCAAGCTTTGAAGGGGAAGGGGGTTGAGCCAGAACCGGAGCCTGAGCCTGAGCCCGAGAAGGGGGATGAGGAGAGTGAGGGTGAGGAGGAGGAAATTCAGCGGAGAGAGATGTTAGCTGCTCAGGTTGCGGATGCTGCTGCGGCGAGGGATGCGGATGAAGCTGATGAAGCTGATGACGACGACGAGGATGACGGGGATGGGGATGATAGTGATGATATGGACGAAGACGAGGACGAGTAACGGGGACTACTAGATTACTTGTGGATCGGCCACGTCTGAGAAAATGGCACTTGGAGCCCAAAATGGTCATCAAAAGGATCATTTTGATCGTTGCTAAAGCCATCGGTAGACTTGGAATATATCGTGAAGCGTCAGACATAAAAAGATACAATAACTCATCAATTAGGCGCAATAATGGATTTCAACCCAAGTGGTCTCAACAGTGAAGCAAAGAAAGATACAGAATTCGTAGCGAACGTTATACCAAAACGCCTAATAGGCTGAACAACCAGTGTCCACAAATAAACAAACGCCGAGGACCGAACAGAAACCGCCAAAACAAAATAAGCAATTCGGTAGGGGTATTTGGGCCGAACCCAGGCCAACGAACAGCGCCACTAAACCGGGTGCAGATGCAGATGAAAGGGATGACGGGAAGGCAGATCAAAGAGCAGATTTAGTGTTGTCAACTGAGTCCTTGTGATTTTGGTGCTGGGTTTCAGCAGCCCCAAGGGCAACAACATCCGAAATTGAGTCGATGGGAGTAGCTACATGGGCTTCCTGGCTTTGTGACAAGGGCGAAGAAGGCTTCTTAAACTCGGGCGCGTGCTCTTCTTTATCATATACGACGGTATACGAGAACGCATTGCAGTCCTCGGCATAGTATTCAGCAGCGTTGAGCTCACCCAACGGAGCACGGGGCTCATCAATCTTCGGCAACTTGCGAGCGGCAGGAATAGTTGCAGCGGACTGGCGAGTCCGGGGGACTTCAACGCCCAGCTCATGAGGGGGAATGTTCTCCTTTCCACGGGTGCGTGGGTCAGACTTTCCCTCATCATCACTGATGTCTAGGACAGTAGTAGAGTGTTGCATCAGGTTGGTCATTTCCTCCTGCTCGGTGTCTTCGTGAATCTCAAAGCACCATGACGCTGGGGCCTTGGGCGCAGGCGCAGGCTTGGGAGTTGTAGAATGGGCGAGGACAGAGGCAAGAGAGAAGGGACGAGCAACGCCGCGCTTACTGTGGTGCTCTGAACGGGGCTTGGCGATAAGCGAACGACGAGTGGCTGACTTGCTCGACTTGGGTGATGGGGAGCGACCAGCGGGCTTGAGGATGGGCGCTGATTTGGGAGTTGTAATCGAGGAGATCTTCGAGGGGGTCAAGAGACGAGGGGAGATGTTGATGCGGGTGGAAAGAGCCATGCGGGATGTTTTGATGGGCTTGGACACACTTTGATCTTCGTCATCCTCAACGGTTCGCTTACGTTTTGAGGAGAAGCGAGCGGGGTTGATATTCTCAGAATCGGCATCAACAAAGATGGAGCTCTTCATGGAGGTAGACTTCATGGACAAGGCACCTGGTTGGGATTGTAAGCTAAGTCATGTTGGGAAGATCAAAACATCGGTCATCCCGTACCATTTAGCTGGTTCTGACGATTAAGTTTTGAGCGCATCAATGGCATCGTGTCCAAACAGCCTAAAGGCCGACGAGTAGGAGTCATCGTGAGAGTGGCCATGGTGAAGGAAGAAGGGAAGTGGGAATGTTTTGATTTGGTCAGCGCTAAGTGGGGGGGAGGAGCTGGAGGATTGGCGGTCTACAATAGGCACCCGACAGGCCGATCGCACGATTCAACGAGAAAGAGGGGGAATTGTGCACAGGTGAATCAAAAAGATAGCAAATGATGGAATGATAGGAGTTGGTCGGATGAAATTCGGATAATTAAAGAAATGGATAGGATATGGCCGACGACACCGTAGAGAGAAGGGATAATTCGGGGGTAAAGAGGTATGTAGTGATGAGGTAGTCCGTAGATATAAATAAGTTTGGACGTGATGTTTTAAAAAGGTTAGGATTAGAGGATTCAGAGGCAAGGAGCAGAGGATATAAGGAGTTGCAAATGGAGGATGGAGGGCGAAGGAAAACTATTTCAAGGACTGCATTGCTCCATAAAGCGCGTCGCGTTCACGGCCGATTCGAAAAGTGGCGTATGTGTCCCAGCACAATCCAATTGACTTTCATTCTTCGATGTCTCGTGTGGAAACGATGGTATTATGCAGATCACTACGCGCTTTTCCGTACACTGTATACAGTGTATACAGTATGGAGTATGGAGTACTCCGTGGTATATTACTCTAGTGCCATTGTCGAGGTTATAGACAATTAATTCTTCCGAATTTTGTCTAGAATAGCCCACAGTATATCATTACCAGCACCCGAAAGGTCAGAAAGCTCAGAAAGGTCAAAAGGACTATTCCCCTCTCTGAGCACTGCCTATCGCGTATCCCTTGGACGCGTCGGTCATTAGCCTAAGTACCCGGTACTTGGCATCCACTTAACTAGCGCATACATCACGGAGGTACCAAATACATGCTCCACGTCTTGCACGTTCCTTCACGCGCGACTTCGCGTTCACGTTTCTTCCTTGTGCAATGTGCGCTCATTCGCGGCGAACAACCTCTGCAATTGCACCAAAACCCCGTTGCATGAAATCTTTAATAAAACTCTGCCGATGCATCTCTCTCCATTGGCTTTGCCCCATCCGGACTTTGGTTACCGGATGACACCATGGACATAGAGGCCGATCAGGGGCTGCTGGGGTTTGAGGTGAATATGGAGCAGGGTACAGAGTACGAAATTTCAATTCAGGGGAAGGGATGGAGGTGTCTGAAGGGTGTCGCACACTCAAGGCTGGGGAATGTACTCCGAGCTAGCTATCCAGGTGGTGCAAGCAGGAATTTGCCCCTGAAGACTGTTTCAAGGCGTAGAATGATGGTGGGTTATTAATTTTAGGGATATTGGGATATTACGGAGTCCTCCGTAAATCGCCAGGGATTCCTAGGTTTGATGGCACCTGTGCCCCCTTTTCCTCGTGGGGTCGGAAAAATTTCCTCCGCAGATGGATCTTTGTTGCAATCCTCGCGAGTCCCGAGAGCCTATCCTTTGTGCCATCGACATGAAATCGCATCGGCGTTTTACGACGGGCGGGAAATTCCGACCGGGGTAGATCATATATTCCGTAGCCTCGCAGGAAGCAGTATTGTGCATGGCCGCAGACGCACCGTGCCAAATACCTCAGATCTCATCATCAAAAGGAATGATGTCCATGGCACCCTGACGTTCCACAGCCTGAGCCGAGGCACACGCAGCCAAATGCATCTCCTCGTCCATGATAGTTTTATGCCAGTATGCCTTCTCATTGTCCGCAACATCCTGCTCAGCCTTGCCTTGCGCGCGACGCTGCTCGCGCCACCGTGCCACTCTGACAGTGTAGGCACCTACAAATGTATCACCTGCGGCAGTAGTATCCAAGACTCGGGAGACAGGGGCGGCCGCAATGTCATAGGTGAAGTGCAGTACTCTGTCACTGGGTCCAGACGAGCCGCCATCCGCAGCGCTGTACCAAACACTCTTCGCCCTGAACACAATAAGGATCTAAGTCACACCCGATTTGTGGAAGTATTGAGCGACCTCCTTCTCCTTGCCATTCAAACCTTCTGCATCCGGCACTGTGCGAAGCAGTTGCTCAGCAGGTGTTCAGCAGGTGTTCAGCAGGCGGAGTCATCGGCTCAGCCTCCGTCTCGTTCAAGATCAAATAGTCGACAGCAGCGTATACATCCTCGGGTAAACCATCAGGGGACGCAGGTGCCGGGCTTAGCATGACATCTGGACCACACTAAATGCCACGTTTCCCAGCAACGCAAGCCTTGGATTTGTAAGACGCGATCTCACGTAGGATGCCGATAACCGTGTTGACCGGGATCTCGCCTTGCATGACAATGATGTCCGGTCCGGGCGTCGCTAGCGCCATGCCCAGCACCTCCGGAGTAGGCTGCATGCCAGCTAATTTGCACCGGGAGAGTAGAGGGTGCGGCTCTCACCGCCAGCCGACGAGTCTACGATAATCGCAGCCACACCCGTGTATGCGTTCTCGATGACTTTGACTCTGGACGGGTCGACTTGATCAGGGCGGAGAAGTGCCCGTCCAAAACTCCCACTGCGCCTATCATCTCAAAAACAACGTCGCTTTTCGAGATCTTAGTGCCTGTTTGCTTGGCTCGGGACATGCGTCCGCATACCACGGCTTGGTTGGCGCCCTTGCCGCCGGCGCTGGTGAAGTATGATGAGGAGGTGATTGTCTCGCCTGGGTCTGGAAATCGTGGTGTGGCTAAGACCCTGTCCGCATTAAGGCATCCAATTACTTGGATGATAGGTGCCATGGCTGGTTGTGTGATCCAGTTTGCTTCGTAGCTCGGGGGTTGGTTGTGGCTTTGGGTCGGGCTGGGAAGATCTGCATGCCTTGGAGTGGTTTAGGTGGGAGGCGAGATAGGTCCCAAAGATCTCAGATTTTTCAATTCAACCAAGTAATGACCGTTCATAACTTTTGGTCAGGCGATTGAGAGAGACAGGGGTTGAAAGTGGAAAGAGAATTGGAATGACGTTTTGGCCGGGCAGATCGGATATGGGACTTGCGGGGCCGACAGCCACGGTTCCGTAGATCCGATCTACAACGTTTAGCCACTGCTAATTTGACAACACATACCTCGAGGAAATTTAAACAGGCTTCCCACTTTCTAAGACACTTGTTATTACATCAGTCTCAACTTTGAATCCTTCTATCAGTTACACCCATTCAAGTGAGATTGAAAATGAATAAAGACAGCTGTAAAACAACATGCAATGCAGGAGGCGGAAAAAGTATAACGAAATCCCTTTTAGGTTCTGTCACTCCTAGGGTCAAACCAGTTAGCTCACAACCCAATTCGACCTCCCTATCACTGCTCGGTCAAACTCAACAACAACACTTACTCCTTTTAACATGAATCAAACCAATGGGATATTAGGGCGTAGGCGGGCTAAGTTAGTAGAGCTCTGACAGCTAAGCTCTGATGCAACCGCAGAACCATCAACTCCCTCAGCCTCCCGTCAATTAATCATTCCTCAATCTGGATTTCATAGTTTAATGCCTCGAGTTTATTGATCTACCGGGTCTGTCTCCTCCTGTAATCCATGCGTAATTGATTTCCATGCGTAATTGATTGATAGCGTTCTACAAAAATCTAGCTCCAGCCAAATTTGACATTGTCTTTGACCCATGCACTTCAATGTATCTTTTACATCCAGGTAAAAATCAACTAAGGGTGAATTCAAAAATATGAAATATGAAAGTAGCACATGCGAACAATCTTGATCCTCGCACGTTTATAGAACTCGAAATTCTATAAAAACCACGATGGATCCAAGGGAGAGATCGGGAAAAAAGACCCTATCAATGACAACACCTACAGGGCTGGATCCTCAAGCTCTCCAGCAATATAAGTAAAGAATTGTAGGTCATATGTGAAATTGAATACGGAGCAAACACTTAATAGCATAGCATAGTCTGAGGATTTAAACTTCCCTGGCTTGCGTGCTCTTTGAATCAAACCAGGTAATGAGAATTCCTGTTCATCTTCTTATCAGAATCTGGAGGGCAAATACAGAGGTCAATCTCGCTCCGGTTCCCTTCAGTCGTGTTGCGAAGTTTGAGGCGGGGAGTTTTAATCACTTGCTCTAGCTGCCCCAGACTGCGCTTTAGTGATGGTTTTGAGCATTCGAAGCATGAACAGTGGCGTTTTGGAGCTTTCGGACGCCGGGAGGTTGGCATCAGGGGTTTACATTGGTTCTCAGGTGATTTGATAGGATCTTATTGTTGCTTTACGTTAAGTTATGTCAGTTAATTTCATATTTCCATCAAATTCTTATTTCACGGAACTCTTATCTACTAAAATCATCTTATGCTTTGAATATTGCTTAAATTTTGTGATTGGAGGGAGTGGTGTTAGTGAGTGACATTGTCGAGATGTAGCTCCACCCCATCATATTCTATACTTGTTTAGACTTTGGATCGTAGATCCACCCGTGGACAGGTGGTAGGTCGATGGACCACGTGCGGACACACTAGCACGGATAGGGGCTAGCTCACGACTTCATCCCAACTATGTGACACCAACAATTCTTAAAACAAATGATGATATTGATCAGAAAACCCTACTTCACCATAATAGTAGTGTACTGCAGTCTATCATTAGATGCATTATGCGGGAACAGTTGCCGTCATTATTACCAGATTAGTAGGCTACTAATGCGGCCATGTGACGTCCTTTAAGTTGCTCATTTTGTATCGATCTTTAAATTTCCTTTTTTATACAAAACGTTTGCTTATCTTGGGTTTACAAACAGATAATAGAAAAGACAGAAAAAACACCGAATTTGAGAAATGAGCTTCACCATAAATGACCTGTGACAATTGTTGTTTCAGTCTCAGGAACTTCTATCATGTCTTGCCGATGTATTTGTATCTGTCAAATTACATCCCCTCGGTGTAAATAGAAAATCTGTTGGATTTTCCTAAGAAACTTGTCGTTTTTCCAGTCTTCCATTCTGAGAAACTGAATGCGGACCGAGCGTATTTGGCCTATTTGCAACGTCGTTTCCACAATGAATACCTCATGCATCAACTTACCCCAAGTAAAACTCGTACTCATCAGTTCAAGGTGGCTGAGATAATTTGTTTTACAAATTTCAAAATCAAGGATCCCAGGAAATACAGCTGTGGACTCAATGGCAAAGAGGACACAACCCTTGGTGGAAACAAAGAAGTCCTGGCTAGAAAACGAGTCCTATAAAACTTCTCGGCTTTGAGTAATTCCGGGTTTCAGCTCGAAAGCGCTCGAAGAAATGGTGGTGCTGCTTTATCATCGAGGCTCAGAGAGGGCAGTGCGGTAGATTGTGAACAAGCCCAGCTCTTTGGCTTGGATGGCAGAATGGGGGTTTGACAGCGTTCAATGAGAAATGAGAATGATGACGACTGAAGAACATTTTAGCGAGAAGATTACTCATTAGAGATAATCCTAGAGGCTTTCAGTAACAGTCAAATACTTGGAAAAAGATCCAAATGCAGTGTAGGAGCGGAGCCATAAGGTTCCGATCAGGTCAAGGGGAAAAATCACTTAGTGGGGGAGGGTCGACGAATCAGAGGAACAGAGCTCAAATGGACCTTGGAAGAAGCGATGTTCATAAAGGGGCAGAATGGTTCGATCCACAGAATGATACAAATAGATTATGTGAAGAAGCTAGAAACAGTCAAGGCAAAAAGGAACCATTCAGGGTAGCACCATGTGACAAAGAACTCAGATCTCAGATATTTGTAGTACGAAAAAATAAAGAAATGAACCCCCTAGGCTTAGTGCACTTGTGGGCTCTAACCTGTAGATTATACACGAGCCCAACTGACCTCCCTATCATGACCTGGTCATCCATAATTAGCAGGAGCCTTTTGATAACTGAGCTATAAGGGGCTTCATTAGAAAATCCTACTCAATGGTTAAACTTGATCGACACATGACTAAGTTCAAACACATTGGTTAGATGTATATCAATTGATTCTTCAATTTCAATCTAACGTACTTTGCCTAACAAACCATAGTCAGAAAAAAACAAATTGAGATAATTGTAAAATCAACCAAGAAATAAGAAGAACAGGAGGCGCAGAACGGAATTCTCTTGAGATTTTAGTACTCCTGGGGTTAAGCCAGTTAGCCCGTAACCAAACAGCTTCCTATCACGACTCGATCACCCGCAAGAACAGGACTGATGTCATTCAAATAGAGGTTAAATGAAAGCATCCATGCAATATTTGATGTTTGCATCAAACAAAAAATTTATATCCTTCCTTTTTAAGAAGGTGCCACCCACTCTTTATGCTGTCTGCATTTTATCTGCTAGCTGTCGCTCCGTTTCTACACAAGCCAAAATGTTGAATTCTATCTCTCCTGAGGAGGACATTCCTTCAATCCTGGATACATGGTGGCTTGGCCTTACAATTCACCACCATTACTTCCTAGTTCACTCGAATTTTGCCTCACTGCTCACTGCCAACACGGATTCATCAAGCCTATTACCTAGCGAGACATTCAAGAAGTTCCAAAAAAAAAGCTCTGCCATGGATCGCTGTTGAGCTTCGTTTGAGACCCACTATACCCTATGTCAGATCCATGGAACAGGGCTACTGGCCCCACATCAGCGTGTGCCTTAGTTCGACGACACTTGCACAAGTCTGCCTTCTGCAAAAAATAACTCGCACACAAGGTACAAACCTTCCGATTCGCTGAATACCCTTGTGTACGAGTGTACAGCCCTTTGGATTCAGATTTGCTGCGCCTGAGCCAACGATAATTTAAGCGGAGCCGAAATCCGAGGCAGCTAACGAGATGGCTAGCAAGAAGCATTGGGATCTTGCCATCACACAGAAAAGATCTTGCGCATCGATCGAATCAGGTATGGTACAACCCGTGGAGTCTGTTTAATTCCTGAGCTCTGCTGGTAATTGACCTTCTCGCATTCTGGTTGATTTGGAGGGTAGAAATACATGATACTGGCTTCAAAATCATAGATGATTTAACCTGGCGATGGAGAGAGAGACTTAACGCCGATCGCTAAATTTACACTTCCGCCAAGGGTTAGCTGAACATTTCATCCGTAGACACATGGATATTTCCATGTCAAGTGCCTTGGACTTCAAACGAATATCGTTGCAAGACTGCTGCGCGAGCGCCTAGAAATTCTTGATATCCCAGCTTCCTCCAGGCAGCTGATCCCACACTAGATAACTAACATATTGCTCTGGCACAATACCAATACCACTTTTTATCCTTTTGGGATGCGAAGAGCGTGGGCGCTGCGGTAGGGGGTTTTAATCACCTATCTTTGGAACAAGTCGGGGTTGCCGGTGCTCGGCAAGGCCACCACAGTTCCTGGTACGCCATCAAAATCTACGCTTCTTGGCATGCCATCGAAAGACACAGGCCATCCCATAATTCAGTACCTAGGTTGGCAAATGGTTGCTCTAAAGTGATGGAGGAAAGAGGGGAAGGGGAAGAAGTGATGTAAAAAAGGCGGGCCTCTAAGCCGACCCATGGTCTGCCCCAATTCAGTTTGCCATCTGTGGCAGAAGCTCATAGTAATATCAAGTAACCCCAGTTTGTTTATTTGGAATGAGCTAGAGAATTTTTGACCTGTTCTTGAATCTCCGTAGTCGACTGCTACTCAGATTTGGAAAAAAACGGTAACGATGTCTTTTGAGCCCAAAGTCTCTAGCGTCGCCCGCAAGCGCGTATACCATCTTTAATGGTAAGGTTGATTTGATGTATGTGGAGAAATTCCTCTCGTGGCTTGGCTTCCTAGTACATCACTAGAATGATTCCTTTGGGGGCTTACTCACATATTTGCTGGCCTGTGAAATGCCTGTTGGGTCCTAGCCCGGTAATTTGGCTTCCAAGAAAACTAAAACGCCGAGGGAGAGATCAACTTATTCCGGACTTCCCGTCATCATCCTATGTCCTTGCCCTTCCGGTTCACAGGGCTGTACCACGATGTCCGCTCGGCGTGTATATCTCCGGGCAGGACGGGTGAAGGAGTATAAGATGAGATTGCTATGCCACGGACAGGCAGCAGGACCTTGTTGAGGGTCCAGCTCATGTACTTTTCTCGGCTGAATATAGCAGAGAGGGTTATAAAGAAGGGTGAAAGGTCTGACTGTTTGCAGGCGATGAAATTTGAAGAGAACGATATCGAAAGTTAGAGATAGACTTTTCAGAGGGTTTAAGTTATGATGAAGAAAGGCCGGAAAATAAGACTCGAGCGCCAAGTAGGGGACCACCCAAGGGAGCTGGAAATTTGAGAAGCTAAAGATGCGCTCTTGTGATGAAGTGAGTAGAGGATGAGCATGAGCAGGTAGTAGTAGGAGGCGATAGAGAAATTTGGGCAAGAGGGAAGAAACGTAGGAAGCAACGAGGGATTTGATTGCAGTATAACCTTAAATAACTTGACTGGAAGTTAAACACTTCCGCGACTGTCTACAAAAAGGATTAATTAAGCCCTTAGAAAATCCCAAACGACACTTGAAAAGACAATAGATTACGTCGCTAACATGCGTTGGAAGGATCGAGGCCATATATAGTAAGGAGTTGATCCGCAGAAACCAAATCATCCACAATAAATCATGATACCAGCAATCAACAGTGGAACCTTGTTGGAGATTTGCCATGCATATCCAATTGTACCAGACAAGAGCAACAATGACAAGGCTAGTCACCAAGGCTTAGAGCCGTGAAAGGCATCTAGTTGAAGACCAAGTTTCCATTGTCATTCCCAATGCGCTCGGCCAGGTTGACATCGGCGTTGTGTTCTTCATTATCGACATCGCGCAAGACAGCCCGCAGAACAGGGACGCTTTCTTCTCCTTCGATATCGAATCTGATATCGCACGCACTGGCGGAGAAGTCACTGCTGCCCCAGAGGAATCGCCCTAAAGAAGTGAGTTAGCATGACTGGTTTTACTAGGTTCCTGCAGGCGTGTACTGCCAGGCCCAAAACTAGAGACGTACCATTGTCGTTCCCGATGCAATGATTCAGATCGATGATAGACTCCTTCTCACCACCGTCCTCGGTCCGAAGGATAGCCCTGAGGATGTGGCCCTCCTCAAGCTCGATGTGGGTAGAAGTTTCGTGGAAGCTCATAGTGTCAATTTTCGAGAGAAGAATTTAAAAGAGGGTGTTGAGACTATGTATCATAAGCTTCTTGGATGGCGGAAGCAGATGGAGGGGGAAGGGACTCTCCTTATATATCCCGCCCGGCGAGGCCAGTACGCCCCGAGTCGTGGTCTGGACTAATACAAGGAATCTGCAGCAGCTCCCCGGTTCTTGCTCACTCCTGTCCCGGACTGATTTGTCGCACTGCATTTCGATTGCGCCATGGCAGCTGGCTGAGGTGGGGCTTTCATTGGGGATGGGCGATATTGGCAAAGCGGGGAGGCTGAACGGAGTACGGAGTACAATATACTCAGTAGAAACGGGAACGTCTTCAAGGACAAAGAAACCTAGCGAGTTAGTCTGTAGACCACAGTGGAGAGGATAGAACAGAAGCATCCACTGCGCCCGTACACGTCAGTAGGTGGATCAGACCCAAATCAACGTCCGAGGCTGTCAGCTTGGCGGGATATTCAGTGCGAAGGCCTACAGAATACCCCAACTTGATATCTGGTTATCGTGGCGCATACACCTCCCACCGTCCTCAGCCACAGGATTCGCTGCAACAACTCTTGATGTTGCATTGTGCATGCGCGCCAAGGATGCACGATTCCGTGACGGCTTTAGGAAACAGCCATAAGATGTGGGCCACACATGGCCAATGGCTATGGAACTGACCAAAGAGAAACGCTGGTGCCTAATGAGAACTGCAATTGACCGGGGCCCATAAAGTGCCAAGTGAAATTGGAGATGTAGCCATAAGTTGTCAGGTCTTGGCAGAATCGATAGTGAGGAGGGGTTATTCCCAACCAGTGGCGTTGAGAGGACCTGTGGCTGAATAAGGCTAGCCCTGTGACTTAGAAGAGGTTTTGGAGGGGATCAAGTGGATCTTTGTGAAGGACAGACAACACATCAATGTCGAAATTATTTTTAAAATTTTCTCTATTGGTTAGGGAATCTTAGAATGTGAATTTGGGAAGACTGGAACTACTCCGTGCAGAGAGTCATAATTTACAGGTTCGATTCTAAGTGTTTTACAATTTCAATTATCAAGATCTCTTATAACATAGTTGAAAGGCTGTGTTTTGTTCATTGGCAATATACAAGGTGGAGACAATAAGGTGGAGACAAGCAAAGGCGGGATGCAACATTGCAAAGCTCAGGAGGTTGGCACAGAACACCAGAAAGAGAGAGAGAGAGAAAGAGAAGCACTAAAGAGGACTTCAAAAGTGTGTCCTCAGAGAATTCCTCAGACAACTGAGAGCTATCTCTGTGAGAAGGTTCCAAGAATTGGCTCAAAGAGCACGGAGAAGGAGATGAGAACAGAGCCCCTTAGTTCAGCTGTGATAGACAGTGGAGAACGAAAGTACGGTCTGTGTCCACAGAGGTGAGGTTAAGATAGACGATCGGTTCCCAAGGGACTGGGAACTCCCCGGGAGTTCCTTTCAGACCACCCACTAGACATGCTTCATGTGCCAAAGGACTAGGACCAAGGCCCTAACCCCATTTCCGACATAGCTGAACCGCGATAAAGACCTAATCGGTTCAGGGGATCCCCTTTTTGTCTTTGGACAACAGGAGACATACAATATAGATTGTCCGATGAATCTAGAACCGAGGAAGTTCCAAAAAAAAAAGAGTGGGTGCCCAGGAAACCACAGAGTACGATGTGGGCCCGGAGGATTGAGGAAGACAGAAGAAAGTGAAAGAAAGAGAAATGGGATATCCACCTTCCCAGTGGCTCAAGGCGATAGGGGAACTGGGGTTAGTTACGACTTTTGGTCCATTAAGGAAAGCTGCGACACGCGGGGAAGTTTTCACTTCTTATAGTAAAGGTCATGGAAAAGGCATGAAACGAAACAGTATGCAATTGACCTTGAGAATACTACCCTCAAACCCCAATATCAACCACGCCCAACACCACTTGCAAACTCCCATGCCTTGCAAGATCAACAGATGCATAGAAACAACAACCCATCCCAGAGCACACATACAAGGTGTATCAACAGAATCACATTAGAATCATAAGAAATCACAGATTAAACTCCATTACGGTAGATTTGAGATCCACCAGAGCGGATCTGGATGGTGTCACGTCGCTGCAAAACCACCAGTGCACGGTTAAGGGCTTGCTCGGTGTAGTTCTTGCCATCGACAAAGTCACGGCGCAAGGTGGCTAAGCTTGTGCTCCAACCGATGGGAAGACGACGCTTCAGTTCGTCTTCAATTTTGCTGCTCTGCTCCATGAGCTCCTTGCTACCTTGGCCTTCACCCTGGGTGATAGCATCCATGGTGGATGCCAGGAACAGACGGATGGCCTCGTCCACGTGAGCTTCTGTGGCGATGGGGGAGAGAGAAAGTTTGGCAAGCGATTCAGAGATACGGACAATAGCCTCGAGTTGACGGACGGTGATGGGGATCGATGATCGGGTGTTGGACTCCATCTCGGCACGGTGGACTTGCTTTCGGATGGAGACGAAGTGGGAGGAGAGTTTTTCCGCGGCTTCAGGTGAGAGACGCGGCGCGCAACGACTAGACAGAATGTTAGTATGAATGAAAAAGTTCAGAAAAGCAACGAGTGTCAACGTACCTGCGGCAGTAGCTGATGTAGCGCTTCATTTGATCAACGGGAATCTCGGCTTCCACCTGCTCCTCCACACCCCGGCCACCCATGTGAACACCCATGACATGACGGGCAATCTTCTCATCACGGCCACGCTCGTGTTCATCCCGGACGATGAAGATCATATCAAAACGGGACAGGATGGTGGTTTGGAAATCGATGTTCTCACCAGGGGTCTTCAGATCATCGTATCGTCCGAAGATAGGGTTGGCTGCGGCCAGTACGGACGTTCTCGAGTTGAGAATTGTGGTGATGCCGGCCTTGGCGATGGAAATTGTCTGCTGTTCCATGGCCTCGTGAATGGCCACTCGGTCCTCGTCACGCATCTTATCAAACTCATCGATACACACAACGCCACCATCAGCGAGGACCATGGCACCACCTTCGAGATAGAACTCGCGGGTGGTATGGTCTCGCTGAACGGAGGCTGTCAAACCAGCGGCAGACGAACCCTTTCCAGAAGTGTAAATGGCAATGGGTGCAGCCTTTTCGACGAACTTCAAAAGTTGAGACTTGGCAGTACCGGGATCACCCAGCATAAGCACGTTAATATCACCACGGAGTTTCATTCCATCAGGAAGAATTTTTTTTGAGCCACCCATAAGCAGACATACAATGGCTTTCTTCATATCCGCGTTGCCATAGATAGACGGGGCAATGCTTCGAGCAAGTGCATCGTACAAGTCAGGCCTCCTGCTGAGCTCCAAGAATTCTTGTTCCTCCTCCTCAGAGAAGACTGAGGCACCCTTTGCTGTCTGGTCCAAGTCAGAGGTTATTCCCACCGCGCGGAGATAGGGGTTGCGAATGGCTACTGCAGCCTCCTTTTTGACACCCTTCGCTTGGTAGATGGAGAAAATTCCCATGACTGTGCAACGAGAGCCAGGGACAACTCGGTTTGCAAGGTATCGATCGGCAGAAATAAGCACGTGTCGTGGCATCTCACCGACTGGCACCTGATCAGGGGCTTCCTGAAGCTTGAGAACTTGCTGGTCCACAAATTGACATCTCTCGTGGTGAACAACGTAAGGATCCAGGGGGCATTGCTCGTTGGGTTGATCATTATCGTTCCTCGGTCGACCACAGCGGCGTGGCAGCGATAGACCAGAGAAGCCACCGTCGACCTGGATGTTCTCGCTGTGATCACAACCCTTGCAACGAACGTGAATGATTGTTGATTTGGAAGATATTGTTGAAGCTCCAATAACTATTCCGGGGATACGAACAAGGTGGGAAACATTGGTGGCATTGAGATCACGAATCGATATGTGTGATGCTGAAGAGTGTAGAAGCAGTTGGTGGGAGGGCAGTGTGATATCTCGCTGCCCGGGGTAAACAATCCGTGCAGTACATTGCTTCAAAGCCAGCTCAAACTACTTTCGAGTTAGCGAGGGCCAAGATCAGCGTGACTAAAGAACTTACAAGAGGAATGATATCACCGGGCTCGGTGGTGAGTTTGTGGGCTAATTCCTCGTTGTAAGAAATGAGATGAGCAATGTCAATATCGCAGTAGTATTGTTTCACAAGTGCATTTTGCCGTAATTGGTCACTATTCCATCATAAATTAGCCTCCATTGGAACTAAACGACTGTGGGATGCTTACCGGTAGACAAATGCATTATCCAGCTGAAATTCTAGCACGAAATCCCGAAGGCGGTTTTGAATGGTAGTGCGATCTTCTTCCGCGCCATTTGTGCTGGGCGCAAGTACGCTCAAAGTATAGGGGGTGCGTCTATCCATGGTGTGAAGGACCGCAAATGTGGCAGGTTGGGAGGTTGATAATTTGGCGGAAGGGAGGCCTCAAGAACTTTTGGTTAGTGTGGCACCAGCGCGACGCGTCGGAGAGCTTTGCGCGTTAAGTGGTTTATTAGTCATTTGTGCCTGAGGCAGTCATATTTATGGCCTAAGGCCGAGACTTTCTGAGTCAGCACGGGGAAGCGCCCGTCGTTGGCGCATTGGCCGATTGGGGAGCCAGACCAGCTTGAAGGAAACATAGCCACATCACAGGCATTCTGCACGTAGGACCCAAGGCGATCTCGGATCAAAATCGCGAATCGCGGAAGCCGACTGGATCTGAATTGGAGTCCATGCCTGAGCCTGCCAGAGCTCTACAATCAGGAGTCTATCCACTGTCATGATCAGATAACACGGAACACCACAACGATCGACCCTCCCCCGGTGGCTGTCCGATCCGGCTCGTGGCTACCATGTCGACAACCAGTCCACGAAAGTCAATCGACAGCTTAGCGTCTGGGGTTTCGTCGCCTTCAGTCTCTTTTTCAACAAGTCAGCTGGAATCCCCACGTCTGGCCCCTCAGCGGTTCCCCCTGAGAAAGGGATCAGTCGCGAGCTCGATTGTGAGCATTGGAGGTGTTTTGGAGTCTTCTTACTACCATGGCTCTATCTCCGAGTCTGTCGCAGAGTCTGGGCAGAATGGTTTGTAACCTCGTTATTTCTGATCGATCGATGATTGACCTGTTAACGCCCATGTAGCCATCTCTACTCTCCTCCAGCCCCCAATCATCCGCACCGGTATGACGACCGGAAGTGCCACATCGTCCGCCAGCTTCAAGCCCCCGTCCTCTCGTGATATCCCGCCAGTCACTCTGACAAATATCAAGCATGTGGATGCAAAGGCCTTCCAGCCCTATCTCTCACAAGTGGGCAGTTTGTACGATGTGTTTCAACAATCAAAAGAAGACACGGGGGAGGATGCCCTACCAGCGCAGGCTGCAAAGTCTCCGAAGCCAGATTTCGATCCCGATTCGTTAATGCCATGGTCCTCCGAGCGGAGGCCTTCGGTCATGTCGATCGCTTCAAGACCGTCCTCGCCATATGATACTCGCGGCCGACGCCCCTCCAGTGCCCGTGGTCGTGCCCCAGCCGTTACTCCTCTGTCCACCATCCCTCCGGTTTATTTCGAAGAGGGCTTCCATCTGGAAAATCCGCGCACGTTTGATGTGATATCAGAAAAATCAGATGTGGTTCGGCCGCCTCGCCCGCCAACCATAAACGGATTAGTTGCGGAGCCGGTGCAAACTGGAAGAAAGGCACTAGCGACGAATGCCATTCTGCAAGAAAAGCTATCATGGTACATGGATACTGTGGAAATCCATCTTATTTCGTCCATCTCAACAGCATCGAAATCCTTCTTCACTGCTCTAGGATCTCTCCGAGAATTACACGCGGAAGCCGCAGATTCGGTCAACCGGATACAAATCCTAAGAAAGGACCTGCAGAAAATTGATAAGGAAATGGCTCTGGGGGGCCTCAAAATTGTTAATTTGAGGCGGCGAAGAGAAAACGTACGAATGTTGGCAGCTGCCGTGGCTCAGCTTCGAGAAGTGGTCGAATCTGTCTCTCGGTGCGAAGGATTGGTGGAGCGTGGCGATATTGAGGAAGCTGCCGACGGACTCGAGGAAGTCGAAAAACTTATGGCCGGTGAAAGGTTCCCCGACCGTGCTGGGTCGGAGAACGAGGAGGGCGGCCCCAGACGCCTTATCGACCTGCGAGGCATCAAGGCCCTCGAGGGGGCACCCGATGACTTGGCACAGCTCCGCCAACGCATTGGCATGGGCTATGAGACCCGGTTCTTGAATGATCTTTTGGGAGATTTACGACAACATGTTCAAACCGTACCGTCCAATGTGACCCTACTGCGCTGGGGAAACTCCTTCAAACGACAGCGCGGTAGTCAGCGGTCTGGAGTATCGGTATCGCCTGCCTACTTGAATTTTGATAACGAGTTGCGATCCCAATTGAACGCCCAACTCAACGGACTCGCGCGTGCTCACTATACGATGCCAGCAGCGACTTCTTTCAAAACCGCTGTTTTACGAGAAATGAAGGGTCTTATTCGCAAACACCTGCCCAGTTCTAGTGATGACGATAATGAATCCATGGTGTCGCTATCAACACATGTCGGTCCTCAGCTAAGCCAACAAGAGAAATCATCAATTCTTGCTCGCAATTTGCGTGCTCTTGACGCAGACGATGCATATTCGATGTTGGTGAATATATATACCGGCATTAGTGAATCACTCAGACGACTCAGTGTCCAAGTCAAAGTTCTTCTGGATATTGCTAGCGGCTTGGGGAATTCACCCACTTCCGGTTTCAAATCCCCACCTCGAAGTCCCAACCTGCAGAGCATGGATCAAGCTATAAAATCTTCACAGATTGGACCAACAGCCTCTGACATGGCCCAGGATGAGATTTTACAGGTTTTGGATATGTCGAGTCTGCTCGGTCAGGCTGTTGACATCGCACAATCCCAGATAACAAAGGTGTTGAAGGTACGATCTGAACAAACTGCCCAGCTGTCTAAAGAGGAATTTCTCAGGTACTTCACGCTCAATCGTCTGTTTGCCGACGAGTGTGAGGCCATCTCGGGACGTAGTGGGACTGCTCTGAAGACCATTGTCGGAAATCAAATCCGCGATTTTATTGCTCGTTTCGGTGATAGTCAACGTCATAAAATTGTCAATGTCATGGATGCCGATCGGTGGGATGCACGCGATTTCGGAGATGCCGAGAACACTATTCTTACTAGGATTCTCGATGCCAGCACCAAGGACATCGACGCCTGGATCGAAGTTCCTAAGATATGGATACCATTTCCTAGAAGTGAGCAAGAGAAACCTGCAGATAACGCCGCTGAAAATGGCACAGACAAGTCCAAGGTTCGCAGTGCAGTCATCGACGAACAGAAATACATTCTGCCTGACTCGGCTGTTGCTATTATGCGCAGCATTGAGGAGTTCGATTTCCTCATGTCGAACATCCCCACCATGATCCAGGATATTGCGCCGCACCTACTAGATATCCTGAAACTGTTCAACTCGCGGTCATCGCAGTTGATCCTTGGGGCCGGCGCCACACGTAGTGCAGGCCTGAAAAATATCACAACTAAGCATCTCGCGCTGTCATCACAAGCGTTGAGCTTTGTTATTGCTTTAGTCCCGTATGTACGGGAATTTGTCCGTCGCCACGGACCGACCAACCCCTTGATGGCGGAGTTCGACAAAGTCAAGCGACTATGCCAGGAGCACCAGAGTGGCATTCACGAGAAGCTGGTGGATATCATGGGCTCGCGCTCTTCGGTTCACGTGAACGCAATGAAGAAAATCGACTGGAATTTCAAGGGAGCCACTCCGGCTGTGAATCCTTATATGGAAACCCTGGCCAAGGAGACGGGCACTCTGCATCGCGTCCTGAGCAAACATCTCCCAGACATGACAGTTAGCATGATCATGATGCCCGTATTCAACAGCTATCGTGATCAATGGACGAAGGCCTTCCAGGAGGCCGATGTGCAGACAGAGGCTGGAACGAAGAGGTTGGTTTGAGCACTTGAATTTCGCTCATGGCTGATACTAACCGTGTACACAGAATGCAAGCCGACGTCGAGCATTTCCGAGCTAAACTGAGCAAAATCGAAGGCGCCAGTGAGGTTGGCGACAAGCTCCTCGAAGTGGTGCGAGCCAAGATCAATACCATTACCAATGAATCAGTGAAGTCCCAGACGAGTGAGAGGCAAAAAGATCAGGACGATGGCTCTGATTCCACCAAGTCCTGAACTGCATTCCCACCGGTGGTTTAATCTTATACGTATAATTTTCTTTCTAGAAGTTCCTCTTGTGCCTACGCGCTCCATCCCGAGCTGCACATTTCTTGTCATTGCCGCTACCACATCTATGTCTGCCAGTTGCATTTAATTAGCCAGCCCGGCGTTTGTGGATAATTATAAGAACAGGTGTGATTTCATTCCATACGTCTTTGATAACCATCTCCAATACCGCCTTGAAAATGTATTGAAGCTGAGGTTACCTCGCAGTTGAACCTCACTGCGCTCTTCGTTCCGATCCCAAGTACGAAACTTCATGACTTGAAAACATCGTGTATCAATCGTAGAGTATGCACATCGTCACGCCCACCAGAGACCATCACTATCATACAGAGTCATCATGGACCAATCTATTGTTTGCCAGCAGTGTTGTTTTCGTCAAGTGAGATCGGCTTAGCAGCACCGCCGTGGGGATGATCTGATCCAGCGGTAGGTAAGCCAGGGTGAACGTCACGGCCGGAACCAGTCTGCTCTGGCATGGGGGCAGCCTTGTGGGAGCGGCTCAGGTCTGCAGGCTATAGGCTTTGTTAATAAATTCCCGTTTAGAAGATTTTCGTTTTAACTGGAAGACTAGTGCGACATACCTCATTGCCAACTCCATGGGCCTTGTTGGGACCGTTCTCGATAGGGTTGTCGCTTTGGGGAACACCGTTGTCGAATTCTGCACCGCGGACCATTTTGATTGAATTTAGGAGAGAGACGTTGAGAGGGTGGGAAAAAAAGAAACCTGGTTTTTGTGTAGAGTTGGAGGTTTTATTCGCTGGGTTCGAAAGTGATTGATGTTCTACTTATAGTTGGTTTCTGATTGACATCGTGAGCCCGTGACAACATTCTGAAATCATAGTGGGGAGTATGACTTCATCCCCACCGTAGCATCCAGGTCTTTTTTCGAATGCCTTGACACTGGGTCTGAGCAGATCGTGGAATGGTAGATATGGAGAGATCAATAACATAATGATTTTGTTTTGTTGTACTGGGATTGGGGAATTCTTTCAAGTGATACGCTTATAGCGTGGGATCTATAGAACAGAGCGGAACCGATCTTCAACAACTGTGGTTCTAAACTCACCAATTTCTACTGTCAACACTACGGACTTCTATTAAATATGGTGGAATTCACCATTCTGCAAAATCGTTTTTTTCATGCACTGGTCTGTTATGCTATGGTGTTAAATTAGCCGGCCAAGTGAGGATAAAGCTTGTTCTGGTAATGGCGAGAAGAGATGATGAACTCACCATGTTAGGCCGCTGTCTGACAGGAACATCCAAGGGTGACAAGTGAATGGGTGCACTTTGTGTGAAAAGGCCATTTATTAAAGATTTTTGATACTCCGTCTGCCCGAAAGTTTCAACCCTAACTCCAGGATGAGTCTAACGGAAGAGTGGCACATAGTCATGAGAGATAAATGAAAACCAACCCGGGGGAAACATAACAAATGAAACCTGGTGTCCTTGACCAACTCTCACTGAATGTCAACACTATCTTGTCCGTCAACGGTATCTCCGGCTTTGGGCAGTGGATCCCGCAACAAGACACATTTCTAAGCCAGATGGACCAATACTCTCATCGACACGATCCGTTCCAGCCAATATGGGCAAGTCATCTTCAGATACAACATAGAAGCCCCTAGGGCCTACAGGGCCAGCCCAAGGCGAGTCAGTTGCGGTGGCTGAGAAGGAGGCGGAGACACGATTCAGCGCCCGAGGCCGAGGACCAACCACCACTAGGGGAGAGACGATCCCATATCGACGGGTCGAACAGTGCCGGCACTGTGGACCAGCCCAGAGAGAATTTGGCAAACCATCAATGCCAGTCGGAAGACCGGTTCGTACTCGGGGGCAAGGGTATGGGAGTGGAGGGTTTCCAAATTGTAGGCTGTTGTCACCACGGCGATGGTAGGGATGGCTGTGGAGGGAACGTTGTCGTCCTGCTAAACAACTGTTGCACATTGATGGTGGTCGATCAGGGTGTTGTGTGATGTCCCCAGGTGTTGCTGATGCAGAGGCAGGAGTGGCGGATGAGATGCGGGGTGATTGAGAGCTGCGGTTTGCTGGTCCAGGAGAAGAAGAGGTATTTGATGAGTGACTTGTGAGAGGTAAAGGAGGTAATAGACCGTGTTCTATTTTACGGCGCAGACTGTATGGTGGGTGTTGTACTGGCGCTGTCCCATCATGGGGTGTCCTTGCAGGAATGGGGGACATGGCATCGGTCCGCGTGTTGGTGGGGGTGACATCACAGCTTTTTCGAACTCTGAGTGGTCGAGGCTGCAAGGGAACAAACGGGGCGATGTAATGATTGTTCACGATGGCGTTTCGCTTTCTCTGTGTTTGACGGATGAGGAATTCCATGGTATTCATCCGGGGGTTGGCCCTCTTGATGGATGAACGTGGAATGTCCGAGGGGGGCATCTCTTGAATCAATGGTTGAGTACCAACTGAGGAGTGTGCACACGAACAGATGCCGTTCTCGAATATGAATGGTGAGCTGGAGTCCCAAAGAGCTGAGGTGATGAGACAACATAATGGTGGGTCAGGTTGATAGATGAAATACAAATCTGGAAGTTGAGGGGCCAGCTCTTCAATCACCAGAGGGTTGGCCATCCCAACATCAGTTTGGGCTAAAACAGAGCGTGACTGCCCAGGTAGCTTTTCTTCACCACTTAACTCAGCAGGTAAGTCAGGGCTCGATACCCCAAGTGCGGAAAGTTCGTACATATTCCCATCGTCCTCGATTACAGAGACGAGGCCTGACCCCCCAGGCTTCTCATCCTCACTACTCGCTCCCGACACATCTGGATTCATGATTCTCAACACAGAACGCTCCTCCCCTTGCCAGCGTTCACGGGGATCATGAGGAGACGTGGGCTGGGCGGTAGGCACAGTACGATCTTTTCCATCAACCAGAGGGGCATTAGCCACAGCCAAATCAAGTCTAAAAGACTGGTGTGGCGGACTTTCCGACTGTTCGGACATAGGGCCATCCAGATCTACCACAGATAGGTCAAACTCATTCTCGAGCAGGGACCTCCTCACTGGGGTCGATCGCTGATCATTACAGTCCCGGAAAAAGCAAGACGGATATCGATCAGTGAGAGCTTCAGAAACGATCCATTTGAGCTTACAGTTTGAGATACTTCGACGCTTCCGCTTGGCCCTATTGATCAACTTGATCCGCACGTTGCCCAGAGGCGTGAAGACCCAACTTCTCAGCCAACGCTTGATCTCGGACCGCTTGCGCACCTTCTTCTGTTCAGACATGCTTAGCGATTGGCGATCGACGCCCAGAACTCGGATTCGTTGGAAGCGAGAGATGCTGGTGGATTAGGGAGTGCAGAAGGTCTCTTTCTTCAGGTCTCATCGCGTTCTGGGGATTTATATCTCTCTGCGCTGGCCTGTTGGCATCTACGAGATCTATCTCAATGAGCCTTTCAGTTGATGCAGATGCCTTTCGAACAAGTGACACAACGTGATCTATCCATAATAGACCTGGACTCCATCTCAGTTACAATGAGGATGGGAACAAACACTGATTTGAGATTTTTGACGTTCTTTGATGAATTTATCAACGACGATGGCCCTTTGTTCCCAAGTGTGTCTCTCCCTTAATGACTCAACTGCGGTGGTACTTCCTACCGATGTAGGTAGCTAGCGTCGTAGGGTAAAAGGAAAGTGGTTTCACCATCCTGGCGTGCCTGGCGCAACCTATCCATAGCCAACTTGGATGTCGGTGTCTTATACTGCCCAGGTGGAGGCATCCTTGACTTCGGCCAGACATTGCCACATTTTGGAGATCTGAAGAAGAAGACCTAGAGATCCGGAACACAGTGTTGGACAAAAAGAAAATTTGGCATATGCAAAGTTGCACGGTATAGGGGTATTTCCACACCAAGGCGGAGATTAAACTGCCAAGACAATCATCCCCTCAAATATGGTGCATACTGTCTACCAATGAGTGGAGGTGATTGAAGCCATTCCAAACCATTCCAAGCCACCTTCGTGGCCCTATCTGTCATTTGTAGGCTGATCCAAGCTCTGGCGGGTCTCAGTGGAGTAAATTGTCAGATGACATCATGGCCCCAGCATGGCTCCAGCTTTCCCCAGATCCAACCACTGCCATTGGATTGGCCCTGAGCCTTCTGCCAGTGAAGGCAAATTTAGATCAGGTGCTCAATAGTCGGAGAAACCGGAAAAGCAACGCAAAAGGGAAAAGATGAGAAGAGAGAATAGAGAATAGAGAACAGGCCACCGTGTGGATCCCACTTAGGAGCATGCTACGACCATCACACATCAGGCACAGAGGTGTATAGTCCAAGATAAATAGTCCAATGAAAGGTGAGAACTGTTCTTAAAAAAAAAGATCGACTTGCCCTCCAACTTCACTTTTCTCAACAGTCTCGGGTGGAATTTCCCTTAAACTTTTTTTTAGCCCGGCCTGGGTCACGTTAACCAGTCCGGAGAAGAAAAAACCCCCCCCCCTCTTGACCGGAACGAGGAAACGGTCACTCTTTTATATTCTTTTTCTTTCTTCTCCGGTTGACTTCTTCATCTTCAATTCGATCCACATCCCCCCTCCCCCCCAACTTCTCCCCCAGCCACCCCAGAAAGCTCAAGTCGCAAGGCCCACTTCTCCGCACAGACCGAGGCGGACAGCTCTTCCAAGTTTATCGCGCTCATCCCCCTCCTCGCGTTTCATTTCTCTTTTGCTTTTCGGTGAATGACAGACCGTTGAAGATCATGGAGGAAAACGGCGAACCCATTAAGCGTGATGTGCGCAACCACATGCTCTTCGAGGTGGCCACTGAAGTGGCCAATCGAGTAGGCGGCATCTACTCGGTCCTCAAGTCCAAAGCTCCTGTAACCACCGCCGAATATGGCGAGCGATATACTCTGATCGGTCCACTTAATAGGGCTTCCGCTGCGGTAGAGGTTGAGGAGCTATCGCCATCCAACCCGGCCATGCGGGAGACAATCCAGTCGATGAAGGAGCGCGGCATTGACATGGTCTACGGTCGCTGGCTCATTGAGGGGGCCCCTCGGGTTCTGCTGATTGACACGGGAACTGGCTATCGGTGGTTGGATGAATGGAAGGGCGATCTTTGGACGATTTCGGCTATCCCCTCCCCCGCTGGTGATAATGAGACCAATGAGGCCATCGTTTTTGGATATTTGGTCGCTTGGTTCTTGGGTGAGGTATGTTCCAACAATTGTTCTACACATATTGAAGATGGCAAAAGAGTTGAACTGACCATACTACTCGCGGCAGTACATTGCGCACGACCGTCGCCGGGCGGTCATCGCCCATTTCCATGAATGGTTGGCTGGTGTCGCCCTGCCACTGACCAAGAAGCGGCACATGGACCTCACAACTGTCTTCACAACCCACGCGACATTACTGGGTCGGTACCTCTGTGCTGGCTCGGTTGACTTCTATAATAACCTCCAGTACTTTGACGTGGATGCGGAGGCCGGGAAGCGAGGAATCTACCACCGCTACTGCATCGAGCGAGCTGCTACCCATTCCTGTGATGTCTTTACTACTGTATCCCATATCACTGCATTTGAGAGTGAACACCTGCTGAAGCGGAAGCCCGATGGCGTGCTGCCTAATGGTCTGAACGTCAAGAAGTTCTCTGCTATGCACGAATTCCAGAACTTGCACTCCCAGGCCAAGGAGAAGATCAACGATTTCGTTCGTGGCCATTTCTATGGGCACAATGACTTTGATCTGGATAATACCCTATATCTTTTTACCGCGGGTCGTTATGAGTATCGCAACAAGGGTGTCGATATGTTCATTGAGGGGCTGGCCCGCCTCAATCATCGATTGAAGGCCGCCGGATCGAACATGACCGTGGTCGCTTTCATTATTATGCCAGCACAGACCTCTTCGTTGACCGTAGAATCGCTTAAGGGACAGGCCGTCGTCAAGTCTCTCCGCGACACCATCGAGAACATCGAGAAGGGGATCGGGAAGCGCATGTATGAGCGATGTCTTTCCTGGAAGGAAGGTGACAACATGCCCGACGAGAAAGATCTTATCACCAGTCAAGATCGTGTGATGCTCCGCCGTCGCCTGTTCGGCATGAAGCGCCATGGTCTTCCCCCCATTGTCACCCACAACATGCACAATGACCACGAGGACCCCATCCTGAATCAGTTGCGTCGTGTCCAGCTGTTCAACCACTCCTCCGACCGGGTGAAGGTTGTCTTCCACCCCGAATTCCTCAACTCCGCCAACCCTGTATTACCGCTTGACTACGACGACTTTGTTCGTGGAACCCATCTGGGCGTCTTCCCCTCCTACTATGAGCCATGGGGATATACACCGGCCGAATGTACAGTGATGGGTGTGCCTAGCATCACCACCAATCTGTCTGGATTCGGTTGCTATATGGAGGAATTGATAGAAAACTCCTCTGATTACGGAATTTACATCGTTGACCGTCGCGCCAAGGGTGTTGACGACTCGGTCAACCAACTGACCGAGTTTATGTTCAACTTCACGGAGAAGAGTCGTCGCCAGCGCATTAACCAGCGTAACCGTACGGAGCGTTTGAGTGATTTGCTCGACTGGAAGAGAATGGGCTTGGAATATGTCAAGGCTCGTCAACTGGCATTGAGAAGAGGTACGTCTCAATTCCATTCTTTTCGAGGTGATCCATGATTAATCCGTTGTGCAGCTTACCCATCGTCCTTCGAGGGTCAAGAGGAATACTTCGATATCATTGGAGGGACGGAACAGAAGCTCTCCCGCCCACTTTCCGTTCCGGGATCCCCACGGGATCGTTCCGGAATGATGACCCCGGGCGACTTTGCTTCTCTACAGGAAGGTCACGAGGGATTGAGCACCGAGGATTATATTGCCTGGAAATTGCCGTGAGTGCTATTTACCACAGTCATCACTGGTCTTTCTCAAATACTCATCTATTTTCCAGTGAAGAGGAGGAGCCCGAAGAGCACTTCCCCCTCACATTGCGAACGCGCAAGATGCCGGAACGTGCTGCATCCCCACTGGACAGTTCATCGATCAATGGCTGCGAAGAGGCCGAAAAGGGAGCCCGGACAGAATAGCTGACGTCATTGCAACCCTTGTTTACGCTGTCTTCACCATTGGCTCTTACTCCCAGTTGGATTGGGCACTTTCCCATTGACGTCATATATACTTGTTCACTCTTTCATTTTATGATCCTCTTCCCTAGCAGTGCATTTGGGGCCCTATGCTTGCTGTTGAAATTAAACCGAATGAAATCAAGAGTTCGCAATCGAGAGTGATGCATGGTAAGAACTCCTGGTGTAATGTTGTCCCCCCTCCGCGGAGGGATGAGCTCCGATAATATCCACTTGAACGCTTGCCCAGGTAACACCGGAGCTGCATCGTAACTTTCAGAGTAATGAGTTGTCAGGTCAGGCAATCGTAGCCGGGTGTTATCGCCCCGGTGAACATCTCGCGAAATGTGATCCATCGTACTTCTGTAGGCTATTTCTACCCCTCCTGCCCCTCCATCTTCATCTTTCCACCATCACTCTTCCAACCATCCAACTTCCGACACAAGTCTTTCATCGGTACGACTCTCCAATGGAGCCGCGCACGTCCAGGACCCTGCGGGGTTGCAGGACAAAGTCCTCGCTACGATGAAGAGATGGATCAAGGTATTTGTTCGTATAACAGTCGTTGCCACTGCATGACAGGTGTTCGGTCAAGCCCGTTGATTGGGAAGAACTACAACCCTATCCAGGTCTCCAGGGTGTGTCCTGGAGTCTGTAGAGGGTTTCTTCCTATATCGACCGGCTGGCTGTTCTGAGATTATACTGTCAAAACTTGATCTAGACAATACTAGCGAAAGGACATGCGTGACTTTTGATTGTTCCCCTGTTTTGTGTTTTGTGTCTGACTCTGCTCATACTGTTGTGCTGGGTTTTGTTCAATTGAATACATAGATTGAATGGAGAACAGTATAGACAGAGCAGAGCTGGGCACTTTCTCTCTTGGCATGCTAACCCGATTAAAGTGTTGAAATAGCTTGATCTTTCTGCCATCATGTCTACCGACAAGATTACTTTTTTGACCAACTGGTATGCTGACATTGTCCCAGAATTCGAGGTTTCGAGCTCGTGTGCTCGATCTTGTAGTTTGACATGGCTAAGTCTTTTCTTTTTTCAAGGCACGCAACCCCGTACCACGCCCCTCTCTACCTCGCCCAGGCCAGAGGCTACTTCAAGGATGAAGGTCTCAAAGTGGCTCTCCTTGAGCCCAATGACCCCTCCGACGTCACCGAGATCGTCGGAAGCGGCAAGGTCGACATGGGCTTCAAGGCCATGATCCACACTCTGGCGGTGCGTATTGTCTTCCCGGCAAAACAAGCATATCAACGATACTGATGCCACATCCAGGCCAAGGCCCGTAACTTCCCCGTGACCTCCATCGGCTCCCTACTCGATGAGCCCTTCACCGGAGTCGTGTACCTGAAGTCCAGCGGAATCACCGAGGACTTTCGCTCATTGAAAGGCAAGCGCATCGGCTACGTCGGCGAGTTTGGCAAGGTACGGATTTCCTTCTCGCCGGCCCTCTTTCCAGCTAAGCATGCCCTAACTTATCCCAGATCCAAATCGACGAACTCACCAAGTACTATGGCATGACTGCAGACGACTACACTGCCGTCCGCTGCGGAATGAATGTAACCAAAGCAATCATCAACGGCACCATCGACGCAGGCATTGGTCTCGAGAACGTGCAAATGGTCGAGCTGGAAGAATGGCTCGCGGGCCAAAAACGCCCCCGCAGCGACGTGCAGATGCTGCGCATTGACCAGCTCGCCGAACTAGGCTGCTGCTGCTTCTGTTCGATCCTGTACATCGCGAACGACGCCTTCATCGCGGCAAACCCGGAGAAAGTAGCTGCATTCATGCGCGCTGTGAAACGCGCTACTGACGATGTCCTGGCCGACCCTGCTGCCGCGTATGCGGAGTACATTGATGTCAAGCCTATCATGGGCACTGATGTTAACCGCAAGATCTTTGAACGGTCGTTTGCTTACTTCTCACACGATTTGAAGAATGTGCAGCGGGATTGGACCAAGGTTACCAATTATGGAAAGAGATTGGGGATTTTGGATGAGGGTTTCGTTGCCAATTATACCAACAAGTTCCTTTCTTGGGGTCTTGATGCGGACTCCACTGATCCTATTGGTGATCAGAAGCGGATGGCTGCCTTGCAGCAGGAGGTTGCTGCTGATGGTGGTTACAAGCGTCTTGAGATTTATGCTGCGGCTTAGTTTGGGCTGATGCTTGGCATGTTTAAGAGATGATGTTTGTCATAGGCTTCACTCTCTAGCTACTATAGCTTCAACTAGATTGGAAACCCTGCCAGTTTGGCATATAAATCAATTATAAATCAATTGTGGTGTAACTGATGTAGTGGAATCTACTTGTCCTAGACCTTTTCCGGTACACTGCCGTTGTATTCGATGTTCAAAAAATATCCAAAGAACGAAGTTTTCCAAAACACCTATTGCAAAGAAAATCAGGTTGATAGAAAGGCAATTCGTTGATTGCTTGACGGATGTACCAGTGGTCGCTAAAATCAGTCATTATCATCTCTCATGGCAAGGCACCGCGTTAGAGTTCCTAGTCATCAGCAAGGCACAGTTAAGGGCACCGCCTCATTCCCTGGACGATCAAGCATCGCTCGTAGCCGACCCTCTGCGGACTGCAAAGCAGGACTGGATTTTAGTCCAGCGATAGTGTCATTCCATTTCAGCCAGCCAAGGAGGGATTGGATGATTTCCGGACCCGACCTTTCCGTGTCAGGCGAACCATGACCGCCCAGAGCAGGTTCTGGGAGAAGATTGGATTCAGCTGAGGATCCATCAATTGCAATCGCCTCCAGATGAACCTCTAACACTACAGCGGGAGTGGCAATCTGAGACGACTGCTGTTCACCACAACCAGCAGCAGAATTCTTCGCGAGTAAATCGCATCCGATACGCTTGGGTTTTGATGCGAATTCGCGCGTGAAAGGAGTTGAGGATATGGTTTCCGGACTAAAAGCTGGAGCAGTATCCGCCTCGGAGGCAATATCAGGAGACGGTGGAGAATGGGGTTGTCTCTGAGTTGTTTGGTCAGAAGCACCAGTGTGTTCGAGCATGGAAGCAGTCTGCCGCAGATTTTCTAGGTACCGATGAAACGAGAATGGATTCACATCACAAACTGGATCAATCGGACTAGCCTCCTCGTCAATGATGACCGCGTTGCTATCATCGGCATGCCGTTCTTCACTGGGCCTGGACTCCTCAACAGGTCCTAACGCACTCGACGGAGCACAAATCTCACCCAATGACGCGATGTGACTCCCATACTCATTGGAAAGACTCAGCTTGCTCCGGCCACAGATCTTCGCAATAGAGTCCAGCGTGCCACGGATATCAGGCTCGATGGCCTGCAGTATACTCTCAATACTGAAGTCCTTATCCGTGGGCAACGAGACATCAGACTGAAACGGGCGAGATGGAGCCAAGCTCCTCGACCTGGAGAACGAGAGGAACCGGCGCACAGACATTGCAGACGGTTGCGTAGATCTGTTCTGCGCATCTCCCGAATACGCTCTAACAAGCACAGGCCGTGTAGCGAGTGTCGATGAGCGCCGGCGAGAGGGAATATCAACTGGAACAGGACGAGATGCAGGCCTCGGGGAACCATTCAGCTGGCGCAGAGCCGTGGCGCGATGTGGGGCGGATGGATCTTCGGCGACGGAATCGTAGCGCTGGGTGGTCTGGCATGAGGGGCCGGAAGAGGACACGACTGGAGACGCATGGGATGGGGATCGGAGTCGGGACCATCCTTGCCGAGGTAAGGAAGACGACGACGACCGTATCTCAGGCAATGGATCTGACCACATCTTCTGCACCGGTTTCGGTTGCGCGCAGCTACGTGTAATGCAGGAGACAGCGCAGACAATGACCCCGCTCTATGAGGGCACAGGACGCTCGAGAAGGTCAGATTTGGCTCAAGAGTGATTCATCCACGTTGCGCAAGATGTATTCCCCGGCATGGGATGGGTGTTTGGTTTGGGAGTCAGTCATCCAATCGGATAGTGGGGGCGACGTGGGGGAACCCGGGGTTCTATGATGCGGAGCATCGAAGCCGTCGGTGTGGTTCAGGTACGTTAAAAGCACAACATTAAATTAACCTTCCATTGCAAGATATCGGATCATGCGAGCTCAGCAACTTGGCTCAAGAAAAAAAACGAATGGCTCTGCCGCGATTTGAACGCGGGACCCCCCCGTTGGCACTGAACAGTACGAGCGGGATGCCTTAACCACTGGGCCACAAAGCCATTTCAATAGTATGATCTCTCCTTTGTGAAACCCTTGCTGGATCTCTGCGTAGGCCTAACCGAGGCATGTGCCACCATCACCAAGTTTCCCTAGCACTAACTTATCCATTGCCCACGCCTTGCCCGCACCATGAATCGGTTCCAAGTATGAATCCACGTCACTCGCATTGATACGTCATCTAATCTTCAATAGTTTGGCGACTCCGACGGGTCTCTCTCTTCTGACCTCGATGAAGACCCATCCGGCCTGCCCTTCCCGGAACCTCTATCCCGCAGCTCATTTCTTGCCCCTGATTTCGATCCAGCGATTTTCCTGTCGTCACTGACGAACAGACATCAGAGCCTTGAGGATCTCCGACAGGAATTGCGGGGACTGGAGCAGTTATTGAACAAGGAGCTGTTGGATCTTGTCAATGAGAATTATCAGGACTTTCTCTCGTTAGGCAGCGCGCTTCGCGGGGGAGAGGAGAAAGTAGAAGGCGTGAAAGTAGGCGTGCTTTCGATCCAGCGCGATGCCAAAGCCATCCGGGCCCAGGTTGAGGCGCGACGCCAAGAAGTGGAAGAGCTGTTGAATGACAAGCGGCGACTACGGACGAAAGCCGATGTTGGCAAAGATCTGCTAGACTATGCGGATCGGGTGGAGGAATTGGAACATCGTTTGATGATCCAGGACAAGTCATCACAAGAACATTCACTGGATGAATCGGATACGGAGTCCGATTTGTACAGCGGGGAGAGTGAAGACAGCAATGACGATGACCTAGCCGATGGCACACCTACAATTTCACTGAAGAGGATGGAACGCCATGCGCAGAAGTTTGTCTATTTGACATTAATAGCTGCCCGAGTCGGTGAAAAGCATCCCTTTCTGCTTGCGCAGCAACCACGAGTCGCAAAGATCAAGTCTACCGTACTCCTGGATCTCAAAACTGCCTTGGAGCAGGCCACCGCGGCGGGTGAGAAACATGGAGAGCGCGATGCTAGGACAATGGCAGTTTTGCGTCTCTACGAGTTAATGGGTGAGGACGTCAGTGCAGTCACCGCGTTGAAGAACCTCAAGCTGTAAAAACTACGTGCTTCGTCCTGAGAATTGGCAATTTGCACTGATTTGAATACATAGCGTCGGCGTTCGGTCTTGTCAAGTTCTAATGTAACAATGATACCATGATACACCATGTCCTTTCCTAATAAAACAATAAATTTGTACACGCCAAAGGATATAAGAAAATTGAGTATGTTACATGCCCTTCAGGGCGGAAGTTGGGGGGGAGGCGTCGGTGCGGAATTCGCCGTTGAGTGAGAAACCGGGTCCGTTCGTCGAGCTCAGTACCTGATGGTATTGTTAGAAGCTGGCTTTCACTTTTTTTTAAAAAAAAGCGTGATTCAAGTACTCACCACCTCATAGACCTCCTTGTTGACACGGTCGGTCAACGCAGAAGCATCCTTCTTAATCTGGTCAAGGGTCACGCGCAAATTGTCGCGCAACTGCTCCGGAGAGAAGCCCAACTGCCCGACAGGTAGACGGATTACGGCATCACGCTCACGGTACACGGTACCACCACGGAGCATTTCCACTCGCGCAGCCACGTCTTCCACAACAGTACCAGTCTTGGCACTGGGCATCAAACCGCGAGGACCAAGGATACGACCCAGGGCGGCCTTGTTCAGCGCCGGCAAACTGTCCGGGTGGGCGAGACAGCGATCGAACTCAATAGAGCCTGCCTTAACCGCATCGAAAACTTCTTGTTCACCGACAAGAACGGCACCGGCGGCAAGCGCTTCCTTAGCTGCTTTTGAACCGGGGGGGCAGATGACGCAGATGCGGGATTCGGTCTGCACGGCGTGGGGGAATCGGAGCATGTTACGGATAACAGGACCGTCGCGCTTTGTCCGCAATCGGATATGCAGTTCGTATTTTTGGACGGAGGGTTCGCGACCGACTTCGATGGCCCGGATATACCTGCAGAAAGGAATATGTCAATTGATGACCCGGCTGTTGACTGACGTTTCCATGTCAGATGCTCAGTACATACCGCATAGCATCACACAGAGAATACTGCGGCATATCCTTCAAATTGATTTGCCGGAACTCCTGGGGTCCTTTTCGGCTCTTGGTAGGCTGCTCTTTCCCCTTCTTTGGTTTGTGCTTAAGACCTCGGACCTGCTGGAAAGTCGAGAGAACGGGAGCGATTGAGGTATTCCGCAACGGATTCCGGCATGACGAGAGGATTCCGCGTGCCGCAGTGGGCAGTACCGAGCCGGAGGACGACATGTTGTCAGGCGTTGATTCGAGCTGATCGACTGGATGAAGCAATTGTTTTCTGCCGGAAAGCTGTCGGACTCGGAAAAATATGGCTCCGGACGGGGATTGTAGATGATGACTCTGCCCCTCCAGAAATTCACATTGCTCCCTACACTACACTTCTGCACAATGTCTCAGTACGAGTTGAAAGTGGCCACTCGTGGCAATCACGCGGCTCTTCTGCCCGTGGTTCTCATCGTCACCTCCATTAATGAGGCTCGCCCTACCCCCGTCGTCACCGTCACCTACGAGGATACTGCTCTTCTCCAGGATGGCGACAAGGCCATTGTGCAGCTTACCAGCGGCTCTAACTCCGTCTATGGTACTGCCAATGTCATCCAGGAGCTTGCTACTCAATTCCCGTTCCTGGCTGGCAAGGATTCCAAGGCCGTAAGTTGCCACAGAAACCCCGCGATCGAGTCGAGTCTTTTTTTTTGGAAACAAAAATGTCCCTAACGCCACGCAATAGGAAGCCGAGTGGATCTCCCAGTTGGATTTCTTAACTACTCTCGACTTTAAGGCTCTCGACCCCGTGCTCCAGCGCCTTGACGCCCATCTCCTTATGCGCTCGTTCGTCGTCGGATACTCTCTGTCTACCCCCGACATTGCTCTTTGGGGTGCTCTCCGTGGTAACCGTGTCGCCGCTGCAGCCCTGAAGAAGGGATCCCTAGTTAACCTTACCCGCTGGTACCGATTCTTGGAGGAGCTTTGCCCCTGGACTACCGCCGCTGTGGAGTCAATGAATGCAGTTGCCAAGGAGAAGAAGGTAGCAAAGTCCAAGGAGGGTGCTAGCTACGACATTGCACTCAAAAACACCGAGAATGGTGTCGTCACCCGATTCCCTCCCGAGCCTTCGTGAGTTATGCCTGGTCCTTAGTCGCTTGGCTAGTTCTGTCCTCCAGACTAACTCTGTTCTCTATCGTAGTGGATATCTCCACATTGGTCACGCTAAGGCCGCTCTTCTGAACGACTATTTTGCGCACGAGAAGTACAACGGTACCATGCTCCTCAGATTCGACGATACCAACCCTTCGAACGAGAAGCAGGAGTTCGAGGACGCCATCGTGGAGGACCTTGCGCTCATGGGCATTAAGCCAAACAAGATGACCTACACTAGCGACTACTTTGACGAGTTGTACGATTACTGCATCAAGATCATCAAGCAGGGTGACGCCTACGCGGATGATACCGATAAGGAAACCATGGCCGCCCAGAGATGGGACGGCTTGCCTAGCCAGCGTCGCGATCTTTCCCCCGAGGAGAGCTTGTTGCGTCTGGAAGAAATGAAGAACGGCACCCCCGAGGGTCTTCGTTGGTGCATCCGTGCTAAAATCTCTTTCGATTGCCCTAATAAGGCTATGCGTGACCCCGTTATCTACCGCTGTAACCCAGCGGTCCACCACCGCACCGGTAGCAAGTGGAAAATCTACCCGACTTATGACTTTGCCTGCCCTATCGTTGACTCGATGGAAGGTGTCACCCACGCTCTGCGTACTATCGAATACCGTGACCGCAACCCCCAGTACCAGTGGATGCTGGACACTATGAAGCTGCGCAACGTTCAGGTGTGGGATTTCGCCCGCATGAACTTCGTTCGCACCCTCCTCTCTAAGCGTAAGCTGACTAAGCTGGTCGAGACTGGTCTTGTTTGGGGCTGGGACGATCCTCGTTTCCCTACTATTCGTGGTATTCGTCGCCGCGGTATGACCATTCCTGCTCTCCGAGAGTTTATCCTCAAGCAGGGCCCCTCTAAGGCAGTGACCAACTTCGACTGGGGTCTTATCTGGGCGACCAACAAGAAGTACATTGACCCTATTGCCCCGCGCCACACTACCATTTTCAACAAAAACGTTGTTAAGACCACTGTCACCGGTGGCCCTGCTGCACCTTACTCCGAGGAAAAGCCTCGACACATTAAGAACGCCGCCGTTGGCATGAAGAAGGTTGTCTACAGCAGCTCCATCATCCTCGAGCAGGAGGATGTCAAGCTGTTCAAGCCTGACGAGGAGATTACTCTCATGAATTGGGGTAATGCCATCGTCCGCAAGGTCACCACCAACGCTGAAACCGGCATCATCACCGACCTTGAGCTTGAGCTGCACATGGCTGGTGATGTCAAGAAGACCGAGAAGAAGGTTACCTGGCTTGCTACCGAGGGACAGGACCTCGTTCCGGTCGAGCTGGTCGACTTCGACCACCTTCTGACCAAGGATTCTCTTGGTGAAGATGACGCTCTGGAGGACTTCCTTAACTTGCACACCGAGTTCCGCGAGGAGGGTCTGGCCGACTGCAACGTTGCTAATCTCAAGGAGAGCGACATCATCCAGTTCGACCGTAAGGGATACTACCGCGTTGACCGTGCTTACTCTCCTGGTAAGCCTGCGGTCTTCTTCAACATTCCTTCCGGCAAGTCCAAATAGATCCTCTGTTATGATATGAAGCAAGTTTTGTGAGTGATCTCCTTCGGGCGGGGCTTCGGGGGCAAGTCTCCCGGGGTGTCTACGAATCCGCGAAAGAAGAATGAAAAATTTTTAAATGATCCCACCTAGTGCCCTGTAAAAATGAACATAAATAGAGACGGAGATTCGCCTGCTGAGCCTTTCAGAGCCACGTTGGGGTTGGGAATATTCTTATTTTGATGGAACTATCATACAATGGAATCCATGAAATTAATGCAAGCAGGCTAAGGGTATGGAGAGACGAAGAGGAAGTTGGACCTGCAAAAAAAAATCCTGGTACATACAACCTCTTTCCTTTGTCCCAACTCGGTGGTTTGCTCCTGCAATTTTAGGAATGTTTTTGCCTGAAACCTCGTTTGTTCTTAGCATTTTATCTTCAGTTCTATGTTACCAAATTTGTCACTGGCACTACACCCTCGACAGATCTACCATTATTTATAGGGCTGCCAGAGAGCATTCTTTTATTGGGCCTTTGTGCAGATTTTGACTACAGGTTGGCGTATCGGACAATACCTCGGTCACTTTGGGAAATGTTGCTCTAGGATGGTTGGATATAATGGCGCATGTAGGGCTGAACATGGTCACGTGTGACCGAATCCAACTGCAATGATCACCCTGGGTAAGTCGATCATTACCATGCTTTTTATACTTTCCATATTCCGGGCCACCTGGTTCAAAATTCGACCGTTTTGTTTCTCCAGACGAATCATGAAACTGGCGTGGAATGGATGTAAATTCCGCCGGCCGGCTTTCAGCGGAAAGGGTGCGCATGACGTCGAAGAATACTTTGCGTGCATTCTGTTGACATCCGGACAGCCGCTCGTCCCCTAGAGCAGAATTGACTAGCGTATTCACTCACAAATGCTTGCAGGGCTTTCCCAGTTGCTTCAAGTTCATGGCTTTCGAATCATATTCTAGCTTCGTTGTTGAATGTTCAATGACTGTCCCCGAACAGCTGGATGCATCGATTGATACTTTTTATCCTCATGATAACTGTTATGTCAATCGAAGTTCAATGGTACGAAAACATCCTGCAGTCAAAGCCACAGGTCACAGTTTTCAGTCGATTTTGTCCTGGCGTTGCCGAGGACATGTTCCACGATCCATAGGTGAATTGAATGCCTTCTTGGCTCGAGGTCAATCCGGGTACCTGCCTGCACCACTAAGTAATCTAGGCTTCGTCTCGATTGGTTGAACCAATGTCTGACCAATCTATGCCCGGTGGGAGGTCTTTGGGTCATCCGCGGCTCGTCCCTTTCGATACCTGGTTCCCCGACTTCATCATCCTTCAAATACCGAATATGGAGACAAAACTAATGAGGCCACCTGTCTGGGAATAGATATCTCTCCCGAAGTCATCCTAGCCCGACGTCAGCATGATTTACTTTCGAAGTGACCATTTCGTTCAGCAGCTTTTTTTTTTTCTTTTCTACTCCAGATACCATCGGAATTGTCTTTTGATTATCGTCAACTGCCAGTGCTGAAGCGCTAGTAGAAAATAAAAAAAGCTCGTTTTTTGAACAACATTTTGGCTTCGTTTCGATCTCCTTGCTTGGTGCATTCGTTCATTTTTTCATCTAGAATTTTTTTTCGTTTACCAGGTATGTGCCTATCTGGTTTCTTCGCACCGGATGAATGTTGATCTGACTAAGAAAGCCAAACATGACTGGTGAGGGCAAAGCTGAGCGTGCCGATGCCCGACGCCGCAGCTCACGTATTTCTCGGGCATCTCTAAGTGGGGACTGGAACAGTTTGGACGAGTATGGCAAGCTCGTAAAGTATGTTTCGACGTTCCGCGATGCCAATGCCGCGGATGAAGAGCAAGGTGAAGTGGTCGAGAAACGAGTCTGGTACGCCCCGTGGAAGAAACGAAAGGGTCACGTCAGAAAAGTTGAGGGGGAAGCCGGCAAGTTTCCAGATGAGTGGACCATGACGGATATCCGAGAGGGACTTTCTAGCCATGAGGTTCCACTGCGTCGTCGTCGGGCTGGGTGGAATGAGTTGACATCCGAGAAGGAGAATCCTATTGCTAAGATCCTGTCTTACTTCCAGGGTCCAATTCTCTATGGTGAGTCCTTCCTCTTCTTTTAATTAATCAACACACTAACTTGCGGATAGTTATGGAATTGGCTGTTTTGCTTGCTGCTGGTTTGGAGGACTGGGTGGACTTCGGTGTCATCATTGGTATCCTGTGCCTGAACGCGTCAGTGGGCTGGTATCAGGAGAAGCAGGCTGCCGATGTGGTTGCGAGTCTGAAGGGTGATATTGCCCTACGTGCGCAGGTTATTCGTGACAGCACTCGACAAGAATGTCTTGCTCGAGAGTTGGTTCCAGGAGACGTAGTAAGTCTATTTTGGATGAGTCCCAATTTCAGCAGAAGGCAACATGACTCTGATCAACCATCTAGGTCATTATTGGCGAAGGACAAGTCGTGCCTGCGGACTCCAGGGTTATCTGTGATGTCAAGGATGAACATGGCTGGGAAGAGTTCAACCAGCTTCAAGAGCAGGGTATGCTCGGTGGAGGGTCCGAGTCTGATGAAGAGGATGACCCAACCAAGGTCGATAAGGACAAGGGCGAGGGCGATGGCAAAGCCAAGGAGGAGGAAGAACACCAGGCGAAGAAGGCCCGCAGACGGGGTTATCCTATTTTGGCTTGTGATCACTCGGCCATCACGGGTGAGTCTCTAGCTGTGGATCGTTATATGGGAGATATGGTCTTCTACACAACTGGCTGTAAGCGTGGCAAGGCCTATGCAGTCGTTCAAACGGGTGCGAGAACTTCGTTCGTTGGCCGCACTGCAAGTATGGTGCAATCTGCTAAAGGGGCTGGCCACTTTGAACTTGTCATGGACAATATCGGAACATCTCTGTTGATTCTCGTTATGGCATGGATTCTTGCTGCGTGGATTGGTGGATTCTTTCGTCATATTCCTATCGCTTCGCCTGGTCAACAGACTTTGCTTCACTACACTCTATCGTTGTTGATTATTGGTGTACCGGTCGGTCTACCTGTGGTGACCACTACCACCATGGCTGTTGGGGCTGCTTATTTGGCAAAGAAAAAGGCCATTGTGCAAAAGCTGACTGCAATAGAATCCCTGGCCGTAAGTCTGCATCGCCTTAGATGCCGTTACAATCCTAACTGCGCAATAGGGTGTTGATATTCTGTGTTCCGATAAGACCGGTACTCTCACGGCAAACAAATTGAGTATTCGTGATCCTTACGTAGCTGAAGGTGTCGATGTTGATTGGATGTTCGCCGTTGCAGCTCTCGCATCGTCGCACAATATTGAATCTCTCGATCCGATTGATAAAGTTACAATCTTGACGCTTCGGCAATACCCAAGAGCACGAGATATCTTGCGACGGGGATGGTCAACTGAAACTTTCACGCCATTTGATCCTGTTTCAAAACGTATCGTCACCATTGCCACCTGTGACGGCGTGCGGTATACCTGCACCAAAGGCGCTCCGAAAGCCGTGCTTCAATTGACAAGCTGTTCAAAGGAGACTGCCGACTTGTACAAGGCCAAAGCACAGGAATTTGCGCATCGAGGCTTCCGCTCTCTCGGTGTTGCAGTTCAAAAGGAAGGAGAGGACTGGGCTTTACTTGGAATGCTGCCAATGTTTGATCCGCCCCGAGAAGACACCGCTCAAACAATAAGCGAAGCTCAAAATCTCGGTATCAGCGTCAAGATGCTCACTGGTGATGCCATTGCTATTGCAAAAGAAACCTGCAAGATGTTAGCTTTAGGTACTAAGGTATACAATTCCGACAAGCTAATCCACGGCGGTTTGAGCGGTGCTATGGCCAGTGATCTGGTTGAAAAGGCAGACGGCTTTGCCGAGGTGTTCCCAGAGCATAAATATCAAGTCGTGCAAATGCTACAGGAACGAGGCCATTTGACCGCCATGACCGGTGATGGTGTGAATGACGCACCATCTCTCAAAAAAGCCGATTGTGGCATTGCTGTGGAAGGCGCCTCGGAAGCCGCCCAGTCGGCATCCGACATCGTATTTCTTGAGCCTGGGCTTTCGACCATTATTGACTCCATAAAGGTAGCTCGTCAAATCTTCCATCGCATGAAGTCGTATATCCAATACCGCATTGCCTTATGTTTGCACCTTGAGATTTACCTTGTCACTTCGATGATCATCCTCAATGAAAGTATCCGTGTTGAGCTTATTGTCTTCCTGGCATTGTTTGCCGATCTTGCGACTGTTGCGGTGGCGTATGATCATGCGTCCTTTGAGTTGCGACCTGTTGAATGGCAACTTCCCAAAATCTGGTTTATTTCTTGCCTTCTTGGAGTTCTCCTCGCCTTGGGTACATGGGTAATTCGAGGAAGTATGTTCCTGAAATCCGGAGGCATTATTCAAAATTGGGGATCCATTCAAGAGGTTCTCTTTTTGGAAGTAGCTCTTACTGAGAACTGGCTCATCTTTGTCACTCGTGGTATCGACACATGGCCATCTATCCACCTGGTGACCGCGATCCTTGGCGTCGATATTTTGGCCACCATCTTCTGTTTGTTTGGTTGGTTTACAAACGAGAATGTGAGGACCAAGCCCGCAGATCATTTTGTGGAGACCAGGAATGGCTGGACCGATATTGTCACTGTTGTACGAATCTGGGGTTATTCGCTGGGGGTGTCAATCGTGATCGCGCTGGTGTACTTCGTTTTGAACAAAATCGAGTGGCTCGACAATCTGGGTCGTGTCCAGCGGGACAAGGGCGAGGTCAAAATTGAGAATTTGCTTGCTCATTTGTCTCGTCTTACGGTTGAGTACGAGGAAAGGGGTGCGCCGAAGGGTCGGTTCTGCTTGACTGCAAGCAAGGAGGAGGAGGAAGCTGAGTAAATGGATGGCGTATCAAGTGGGAGGTATCACGTCCGGGGTTTGATTCTCATTGGACGTTGAGAGTTGTCTTTTGTTCGGTCCCTGGCCTGGCTGGGTATTGTCGATGGTGGGTAACGTTATTATTCCGGGGGTGTTCTCGGAGACATCGTACAAGACTACGAGGGTTTCTATATTAATCTCTAATCTGTTGAATCTGCTGCCCAGTATCCTAGTGGCGCTCAAATACTTTTGGTTTTGTGTTTTTGGAATTTCAATCATTTAATATACATGGAACGAATGTGATACTATGTCAATTTTAGATGTAGAGAACGAGCTGCACCCTTGATTACAACATGGTACTTATTTTTTAATTCTTGGAATAGCAGGTTAGAAAGTGACCCAGATGGAGAAACCAAAAAAAAAAACTGCAAATGGTGTGATGGTCCAAGGTTTCAAAAGGGAAATATGAAATGATGGGTATCATATCAACGAGTGTAAACCCAAAGGTGGGTGAGTTAAAAGGGAATAGGGTCGAAGGGTATTAAAGAGAAGGAAAGATTAGTAAGACAAATTGAAAATGCACCGTGTTTGATATAACGCCAAGTCCATCATAGTGGCTCTTCAAATGTACTCAACAGGCCAACCATGTACATCCATGGTGACACATCCAAACCCTCAAAGGAGATGAGACGATTGCCAGTCTTAGCCAAAGCCGCAGACACTCAGGTACGATTACGCTGAGCACGTCGGAGATTATTGCTTGGACCATGGGTGACGCCGCTAGCGATGTTGTTGGCTTGACGGAGACCACTCAGCAAAGTAAGAAGGTCGTTGCCGAGGATAGAGCTGAGAGCATTGCTATCGGAGCCGTCATCTGATCCATCATCTGAGCTAGGTTGCGAGTCATCCGTGCTCGAGTCACTCTCATCATGTGAGCTAGCAGTCGAGGTGGGAGTCGCAGTTGTCTCGGCAGATGTGGTTCCAGTCGGAGTCGGCTCTGCTTCTGTACTTTGAGGCTTATGATCTGTGATTGTAGCGGTAATAGTAATCGTGGCCGTGATGGTGGTTTTTTGTTCATTGGTGGTAGCGGTGGTGGTTTCTTCAACTCCCTTGTGCGAAGCAGAAGCAGATGAGGAGGAGGAAGACGAGTGTGAGGAGTCGGGTACATTGGAAGACGATGAAGTCGTCGTTGTCGTCTTTGGCTTCGTCTGTTCCGTTGTCTTCGTTGGTTCCGTTGTCTTCGTTGGTTCCGTTGTCTTCGTTGGTTCCGTTGTCTTCGTTGGTTCCGTTGTCTTCGTTGAGTCAGTGGACGCAGAGGTAGGTGTCGTGGTTGACACCGGATCGGGCGACGACGAACCGGAATCATTCGCAGGGCCCAGGCTTTTCCGAACGTCCTTGATAAATCCCTCATTACCATATGCCTGTGTAGCATCCCACATCATTACTCCACCAAAACTCTCGAACTTCTTGGTGTATTCAATCACCTTGTCCAACTGGGACGCAGGGATATATCCTGTGCTAGCCGCGGTAGTAAATGCTGGAACGCCGATGATGACCTTGACATCCTTGTTATTAGACACCGTTTTAGCCCAGTTGTCCCACTCTTCGAAGTTGTATTCGCCACGTGAGCTATCGGAGTTGAAGGTGTTGACGCCACAGTAGTTGTTGTAAAACTGAACCCAGATAGCGTCGATATAGACAGGGCCGTTGAGGATCTCTTTGTCTGCCTGATCGGGGTAGGGACATTGTGGTGCTGCTGTCAAGTAGAACTGCTGCTTGCTTTCATCTGCCTTCATCAGTGAGCGCAGCTCGTTGGCGAAGGGGGCCATGTGTTGGACGTTAGCCTCAAAGTCGAAGTCGAACCCATCCAAGGCGACGTCACCGAAGGGACGAAAAGCTTTAGAGCCCTCTTTTTTGGGGCCAAATGTCTCCCACATCAGCCTCGCGCCGTCCTTGGCATCTTCCTCAGACTTGAAGCCGCCCTCACTATACGTCGCTCCACCGATTGAAAGAAGAATCGTCTTGTTCTTCTCTTGGCACGTCGCAATGTCCTCGCTGATAAATATTAGCCTTCTGGCAAATTCCTAACACACGTGATATAGCAACACATACCCAATTAAAGGACAATTCTTCAGTTGAGTGCCCTCAAAGAGATCGCAGTCCTTGCTGGTAACTGAGAAATCGATCTCTGGAGCACCTCCTGGTCCATTGACCATCATATCGAAGGCCATTGGTATCACCTATCTCATTCTGTTAGTCGATCATTTTCGTCTCTCCTGGTGATCCGGTTCATACATCAATATCGTCATCTAGACTCTCACATTAGCCAACAACCACATCGAAAATAGATGGTTCACTCACCATCGCAGTAGTGTGCCAGGGGCTGCTGTGCCTTATCGCCCTTTCCGTTAAAAGAATTTTGACCTTCAGGACCTGGTGTAAGTATTTTCAACCCGAATATTCAATGATCACATACCCCAGTAAACAACGATGTTGCTGGCCGAGTTCAAATCCAACTTCGCCTGTGCCCCTCCAAGTGAAGCCAGGAATATAGACCAAGAAAGAAGACCCTGATGGTGACGCATTGTGCCGAGGTTAGCACGGTAGGTTCATGGGTTATCTAATTAGTTATCGAAGATTAAATTAAGATATGGGACTAGAGGATGTATAGGGACAGAATTGACACGAACACTGAGCCTCGTCACGAACGAGCACAGCGCATCGTTAAATAGCTTAACGTGCATTTTTGTCCTCTTCATTTTGTAAAAAGAAATAGCTGCGTTCCCCATTCAGGTGCCTAGCCTGGTGCCCTCGGCGCATGGTATGATCCACATGTCCACCCAGCGATCTGAAAGAGGGATCGGGGTCATTCCTCGGTCTCAAATGGACACAATGTGTAATTGATGGTAGTAAATGATAATTTTCATCGGATTGTGAGATGTGCTCATTACCCTGGTCTCCATTCCAGTGTTGTTGTCAGGGGACTGAGGCCAGGTCCAAGAATGCGTCGAGGGATGAGCATGTTTGGGTGTTTAATCAAGTTCCAGGCCATCAGCAATTGACTAATATGTTGTAGATACCGTACCATATGCTCGATCATCACTTTCAGGGGTCATATCCCTTGCCATCTTGGGGGTCATCTCGAAGGGGGGGGGGGGTCATGGTGGCACATACTATACCACCCTTGCAAGTCAAGACAAACTATTCACCATGAGCTCTGCCCATAATTCGAATTTTACGCGGTTAGACGTTCAAGAACCATTCTTTTGGTTAATTTCATGTTTGCAGGCTAGTCTTCTTGACAAGAAAAACAAAATTCCGATGACAAGAAGCAAGGTGTAGACCAAACGACTGTTCGGAGCTCGGAATATATATCTTCTACACACTCATCGCTGCGAGTACTTGACCATCAGCACATAGATTAATCATGTCCTAGGGTTGCACCTATCCAAAAATTGATGAGACACACTAAGAATTATAGATCCGATAGTATTGCCCGGCAGAGTGTGAGCCACCTGCATTATCACATCCTTGACATAGCTTTTTAGTCCTCCCCGCCGCTTTTTGCCAAGTTAAACTGAGCACATCTGGCCGAATCACGTGATACTACATCATCCAAGTTGAGATTATGTAAAGATCACATGGTTTCCATTAACGTAATTCCCAAGCGAGCTGGCCACCCCAACCAAAACACGTCCATGAATTAGATCTTAGTTAGTTCAACCACCCACCATGCCACCAATTCGTACTCAATCCTCTCGAAATTCAATAGAGCAGGAGGGTAGGATCTTACTAGCTATCCAGGTTTTTAAGAATCAAGAAATCTCTTCAATTCGTGAAGTGGCACGCCGTTTTAACGTCCCAAGATCCACCCTTTCTACCCGCCTGAATGGTATACAACACCGCGCGATTTCTCGCGCCAACTCCCATAAATTGACCGATACTGAAGAGGAATCTCTTCAGAAATGGGTATTCTCTATGGACGCTCGTGGTTCAGATCCACGACCTTCAACGGTGCAAGAAATGGCGAATGTTCTACTTTCGCATCGCGGAATCAACCCATCATCTACAGTCGGCAAAAATTGGGTCACTAATTACATTAAACGACATCCAAATCTATCCTCGAGATTCTCCAGACGTTACAATTACGAACGTGCTAAATGTGACGATCCAAAAATCATTGGTGAGTGGTTTACACTTGTTCAAAAAACGATTCTTCAATACGGCATTGACAACGATGACATTTATAACTTCGATGAGACTGGTTTTGCAATGGGATTAACCGCAACTGCTAAAGTCATTACGAGATCTGAATACTACGGTCGGCGATCACTTTTACAACCTGGAAATCGCGAATGGGTGACTGCAATTGAATGTACAAATGCTTCAGGTTGGGCACTACCTCCATGCATTATTTTCAAAGGCAAAGAATTCATTGAATCTTGGTTCGACAATCTTGCAAATGATTGGCGCTTTGAAGTCAGTCCTAATGGATGGACCTCTGATGAAATTGGCCTTCGATGGCTTGAAAAACTATTCATTCCATCGACTTATTCACGGACAAAAGGTCAATATCGACTTTTGATACTTGACGGACATGGAAGTCATTTGACCCCGAAATTCGATGAACTTTGCGAAAAAAACAACATCATCT